TAATATTCAGATATTTAATCGTAATTTATCTTATATCCCTAGGTTCATCCAGCAAACTTAAACTTCAATATAAAACTGTGTATCTGTGTCAAACACATGAATACGATTGCGAAAACCAAATAATACTCTATTTTCAAAATTAAAATGAATAACAAACAAACTGTGAAATTAAATAACTTGCCTGCGCAGTATTTCAATTCTGAGAAAGTCAAATAAAGAAACTCAATCCTATGTGTTTCTTCCACAGAAATCAGAAATGCTTTCAAGAACTATTTCGCCTAGCTCCCCTTCTTACCCACAATATAGCTAGCCTTGGTTCCGAAAAGAAATAATAAAGCTCTCGCCCCTTAACACCATGAATCAGCATATGATGGCTTCAGCAGAAACGGAAACATAAACATGCATTTCATTTTGGGGCATGTGCGAAATGAGAGCTAAATGCAGCAGCAGTGACTACCGGCAAGGCTGCGTTCACGTACACAGCATAAAATCAATAATCCAACACACTGGCACAGCAGCAACACTAGCAGCAGCAACAGCAACACTAGCAACAGCAACGCACCACTGTCAACAGTCAAGTGGCAGTGCATTAAAATTGTAAACTTGAACAGCAAACAAAAGCCACAAACAGACGACGATCCACGGTGGATTGGACCTGAACCTGGTCGAAAGGGGGAGCTGCAAGTCAATGCTGGAAGGCTGGAGCTGTGCGCACTTGGACGCCGGGTATCCGGCTTGAAGGCCCTCCGCCTTTTGGCCCCCGACTCCTGGCAATTTCAAATTGTGCGTCACGTACACGTAAAGTAATGAAAACATATGAACAGACACGCAGGATGGAAGGTTGGCTGGTCTGTTGGTTGGTTGGTGCTGCGGAGTGCTAGCCAGTAGGCACTTGCAATTGCAAATGCACAAAATAATAATTTCGCAATACGCGCAGTTCAATTACAACCAGCAACAGCAGCAAAAGCAGCAGCAACTGCAAGTGGCTATCATTCTGGGCATTTATTTTACAATGCATTGCCGTAATATAATTGATATGCTCTAAGTAATTGGCGCTGACCACGCGAGCAACATTTCATGTTGCTGCTGCTGCTGGTGATTCTTGGAGTTGCTGCTGCCGCAAGTGAGAGATCAAGCAATCGATTTGTATATCGACTGGATCGATCGATTCGATTCGATCGCCACACTGGCGACATGGCGGACCACCCCGCCAGGAGTGGCGCCTAATTGCAGGGCCGTTGCAGTAGCAACATCATGCCAACAGCGGCAACTACATCATTTTTAATGCCCTAACTCGCCGTTTGGGTTGTTAAATTTTGTTTATAAATCAGAGACGGGGCACTGGCGACTTTTTGTGTGTGCTGCTGAAAGCTTTACGTTGCGATGTCGCCAACGAAAACTGCCATTTATGGGCAATTAGGCTTCGATTTGAGTCGATGTTGCTGGTTGCCGCTGCTTTCTGTTGGTCCTGCGAGCGCCATTAATGCTGTGTGCAACAAATCACGGCTGCAATTAGTGCGTGTTTATGACTTTCAGCTGAGAGGGCGCCATTTCAGCGCTTAGTGCTTTTTTTCGAGCTTAGTTTGACCAACATCCTCTCCCCTTTGACTTTTGCGAAACGTTTAGGCCGCCGACAATTTGCATGCTGCAGCGGCGGCAGCAGCAGCAACATGAGCGACATAGCAGCAACATGGAGCGACCGCAGCAATCGATGATGGCCAGTCCATCGAGTGGCGTCAATAATGGCCTGTCGTTGGCCATAAACGCCCGCTGGCCATATTGTTTAGCCGATAGTTGTACTTGTTCGTCCGCAGCACTAATTGCCGCATATCGATGTGTGTGCGCGTAATGGCATAGATCATGCTAATATAATTACACGCTGGACAGCAGCAACATGGACCCGGGACTCGGGATCCGGGACTTGGGACCCATCAAATTTGATATGAGGAAGAGATCCAGCCGGTCCATAATAATTGTTCGGAATTAAGCTTTTAAGAAAAGGATCTTTAGATTTACGATTGCTCACCGCCTTCAGTTTTTCAGTTTTCCTTCTTTGCCTATAAATAATTTCTATATCGAAAGCCGGCTTTGATGATGGCCTGATTCCGCTGCGGGGCATTATCTCTGACTAGTGATATATCAACTGGCTGGAGCGCAAGCGAATATTGCTGCTGACGCTTTATCGCTGCCAGCCAGAAAATGCAATTTTCGGCAGCAGCAACAGCAACTACGAAGGCAAAAAAATATATATAAAATAAAAGAAATGGGGGATATTCGCCTAGGCTTAAAATTCCAAGGCAAATTGCGGGCAAGCGACCACAATGCTGTTGCATGTTTCTGCTCGTTGCTATTGCTGTTGTTGTTGCTGTGGGTACGACGAGCACCAACAACACAATTCAGCGTCATCACAAACATCAATTGACCCTTCGGTGCTTCAGGATCAAGCGTAATAATCGCCGGCATAAAAACGCTTTGCACTTTTGCGCCAGAATAATGGTTAAAAGGTTGCCAGTTTCCAGTTGGCGGTTCCCAACATGCATATGTGCCTTGACCATGATCTTGGTCTGAAACTCTGCCTTAACCCTAACGTATCCATATTATTGTTGTACAAAAGTAGAAAATAAAATACTAATACCTAAATAAATAAAGTGTTTATTATTTATAACAAAAAATGGTCGATCAAGTATGAAGTGGACTCGCATTTAATGACATCAGCAGTCAAGAACCAGCCATCGAAATTAATATGAAATATTATTTTCTTGTGTCAAATAAACGCCTTTGTAATACTAAATATGATTCTTAATTTCAATAAAAAAAAAATTAATAAAAAATCTTCCTAATATTCCAATTCATGAATTCTTTATTCAATTTAAATTCAAATTTTGAATACAAAAACAGAAACTGCTATTAACAAGAAATATTTGTTTACCTCTGAAATATTTATCCGGGGAAATTAAAGTTTTGACTGTGTCTGTGTAGAGAATGGCCAATGCGTTAATCCTGGCTATGGTATCCTGCAAATGGTTCCATAATCTACTCTGGGAGTACAATTTCCTTTTAAAGGTGCGTACCTTAAAAAAAACCGAACAAAAATTCCGAATAGAGATTTACGAAGTTTTTTTGTCTATTTCGAGTTAGTCATTACAAAAACATGACGAAACGGACTCATTCATCAATATACATGAAGCAGCTTGCCGATGAGATTTTGAACTCACGAATGGCTCCTTTCTTATCCTTTATAAAAAAACTGAAAATATTAGTGTAACAATTTTGTCTGTCAAGAAATATCTTAACTTAAATTTTAAAATTTAATTTTAGTTTTGACGTATCATAAATCGACAAACGTATTTTATTATTTCAATGGTTTATTACTTAACATTCAGTTAAAATGGCAGTCCCTTTTTAATATAAGCCCGTTTTAATCGCTACTAAATAACTTTTTACGTTATTTATTAAGTGCATACTTCAGTTGAAGGGTATTTTATGTGCGAGTCCCAGCATCCCACATTCGTCTCCGGTTTTATTTTGTGCTGTTTCTTTTGCTGCATTTTTATGGCACCCGCCCATGGGGTCAATTCTGTCATGTGTGCCCTGGCCCAAACCCAATCCCGGTCCAGAATCCAAAATCCCAAACCTAGACCCTCAACCCAGGCCCAGTCGGAAATCCATGGCCAAAGCGAAACGAGTGCAACACGAACTGTTTAATGGACTGGGCATGCACTCTGAGCGACGACCCATCAGTTGCTCAAACTTGGTTCCAGTCCCAGATGGAGCCTCCATTTCATGGCCATGTGAGAAGAAGACATCTGGGTCCCAGACACTCATTTCCCGCCGAAGTGTGTGTGCAGGTTAATCAGCTTTGCCAGCGGGCTTTTCATCAAAGAGCGAGCGGCACCCACGCAGGCGACAGCGTATGGGGAAGAAAAACACTCTAAAAAAATCTGTAAGCAACAAATGATTATTAAAATGATTAAAAAACAATGTAACATTAAATACAAGATAACTTCTGGAACAGAAGTATGCGAAAATACTTTATTTTAAAAGTGTTTTATTCATTTCTGAGCAATATCAATAAAAAATCAAAAAACCATGATCATTGCGGATTTGAAAAGGATATCTAAATAGAAACCAAATGGTGTATTCCATTTGGTTTTGCGACTATTATAAGTGACTGACTTTTAGGTTTAAAAAATCAAAAATAATTATTATTTTCGGTCCCTGATGAAAAGTACAAACAATGATAATATCAGCTTTATTTGGTATCCTTGCTTTAAGAAATATTTCAATAATATTTTTAAAACTGCTTTTAAGGTTTTTCTTAGGCTTTTAAAGCAGTATTTATTCTCTAAGCCATACATATTTAAAATTAAAGACCATTTCTAATAAGTATTATAATTTACTCTAAAGCATACACAATTAAAATTAAAAACCATCTTTCCTAAATAGGATTATTCCTTTTACCAGTGTAGTTTTGCAAAGAGAACAGATTAAGCATACGACGTGTTGTGCAGTTATCATCGAGATGGCAGCGATTCCTAACGGAACGCCATGCGTCGCTGTCGTCCCATGGCGGAGGTCTCTCCCCATCCTCCTCTCCTCTCCCCTTTCCCTGGTCGCCGGTAATTTATGATTCGCAGCGCACGGCCTGCAAATGATCTATTGCCCATTGCAGTTAGCCGAGCGGAGGAGGAGCTGCAGCAGAGGCCTTCGGATCGGCACTTGTTGCATCGGCATCAGAACACTATAACAGCTACAAGTGATTTCTTTCGCATCGCAGCCTCCAGGCGCTCCTGACAGTTACAAAGTGCGCCCACTAGTTGGCGGTCAGGCTAAAATGACCCAAACTCAAACCCAAACCCGAACCCAAAGTCAGGCCAAAACCCATACACAATGTGTGCCTTGTCGACGCCATCTCCCAACCTTTGATTAATGGACTTTTCGTGTTGGCTCCGATTCTGGCTGTGGCGTCATAAATAAACCTAAAAATGCAACAACAGGCAAAAGGTGGAGCACGTCTGTGCTGCGCATATTTATCATTGGTAAACTTTATTCTTTACATTTACATACAACGCGTTAAAATTACTTGTCCAATTTTATTTACTTTAGGTATTAAAATGTTAGGCCTATTCATATGGATATCGTAGTTGAAGTGCGTGAAAATTTGAAAGTATTTGTTTACAATACAGAAATCTATGTCAATTTTAAACTAATCTGGCTACTATAAGTTACGATTTTGTGTTCCGGCGGAGCGCGCGCGTGAAAGATCTATACAATTCTGGCCGACTTGGCTCGGTCCATTGCCTTTCCCAATGCTGATCCTGTCGCCGTCGTCTTTGCTGGTGCTGCAGCTGCAGCTGGAGCTTTTGCTGATTGCCTAGACCCGCTGATCTCGACCTGCTGCTGGGGGCACTATAAGGACGGCGGATCGTACTGGAAGCCCGGGTTGTTGAACTTGAAGCGCGCAATCTCAAACTGCAGTGTCTCGTAGTTGATGTCGGCCAATCGCTTGAGCTGGTGAGCGATCTGCTGGGCATCGCCGCTGCTCAGCGCGTTGGTCAGCGAACTGGGCTCCCGCTCCAGTTTTGTACTGTGCAGCGGCGGCACGGCCTGCATGTTCGAGATGCAGCGCGGCGCATTTTTAACTGAAATAGTAAGGGAAAAATAAAATTTAAGCGAGGCAGATGAGCAAACTTAAATTTAGGGAAATTTAAAACAAAAGAATTCAATTTATAAAATTTATCAGTAAACCAAGTTCATTTTATATTATGTGTCTAACACTTAATTAACTTTTAGTATATTACAAATATTTTGAAGGGAACGAATAGCTAATCTTTAGGTATTCAAATTCTTGGTATAATGCTTGAGTTATACTTATAAATATTAAATAAATATTTAAATTCCAAATAGCACTAATAAAAATGTATAAATTTTCTTAGTAAACTGTACATACACTTAATCAACTTTTATAATACAAATATTTTAAAGGGAACAAATAGTTAATCTTTGGGCATTCAAATTCTTGGTATTTTTTAGAAAAAATGTACTATGTTAAAATGGAGTTAGTTTATAAGCTCACATGTTTAAAATTATCTAGAATTGATATGAACTCACACAAAAAAAAAACAAATCAAATAGGTTGATTTGCCATTTAATGAAATATTGATTAAATATTTTCCTACAATAATTTCCCCTCAATCGAAATAGAATAGTTACCTTCGTAGATGATTTGCTCCCGGGGCTGCGTGCGCATTCGCTTGGCGGGCAGCTCGCCGTTGATCAACTTATTGCCGGAGGCCGTTCCCGGATTGATAACAGCGGCAGCAGGCCGGCGGGTGGTGACATACTCCACGGCATGTGGCTGCACCGTCTGGGGCTCCTCGTCCACGTGCTCGAAGGATGTGTTGTCCACCACGATGGTGCGATATGTGCCGCCGCCGGTGTTGACCGCCGTGGTGGACGCCGTGAGGCCGGCATCCGTCAGATTCTCCTCCATCAAGTCCTCGTGGTCCACATGCTCCTCCACCATCTCCTCGTCGTCCACCTCGTCGTTAATGGCCTCCTCCACGGCGGCCTGCAGTTCCTTTTGAAACGCCGCCGAGGTGCGCTGGCCCAGCTCCTCCATTTCCTCGTCGTGCTCCTCCTTTTCGGATTTCAGGTTGAGCAGCGTTTCGCCGGTGGTGGTGGGCACCTTGCCGAAGAGATCCAGGGCCCGCGTCTCCACGGAGGTCATCGAGATGTCCTTCTCGGTGGACAGGAGGCTGCGTCTGTACTTGCAGCGGGTGGTGTTCTTCCAGTCGTTCAGGCGCTGTTTTTGGGGGGAAAATTAGTGGAGGATTAGAGGAGGAACATATAGGTATAGGTATAGATTCCCACCTTGCGCCACTCCTCCGGCGTGAGTGTGGGTCCCGAGCTGCACTTGTTCAGCCGGTCGGAGAGCTCCTTCCACTTCTTCGTCAAATAGTTGAGGTCGTAATCTCGCGGCACTCGTCCGGTGGCGAAAATGGGGTCGCTCTCCATCATGTCGATGTACATCTGATACTGCTCCGAGGAGGTGCGTTTCTTGCGGCGATCCATCTTGCCGTGCATCCGTTTGCCACGCTGTGTGTCCTGGAATCGGTTTCTCTGCTTGAATCCCTGGCAAAAGCCGTAAAATGCAAATCGACGCCACCAAACGATGCGAAGTGTTCACAAACAATTGCAGGCGCTTGGGATTTTCTAGTGCATTTTATCTGCTGGCAAAGCAGGGTTGTACTCGGCACGTCAGTGCTGCGCAGCTGGCGGGAAACGATAGTGGACGCACCATGCGATAGTTCTAGCTAGATTATTAGAGCATTTTGTCTTTTAAATTATAAACATTAAACAATTAAATGATAAAATCAAATTTTTTAATTGTTCATTAAAATACGCATTTTTTATTCACTATTAAAATGGGCAACTTTAAAATATCTTGGAAAGCATTACAAAGGTTGTATGAACGGTGGTTTTTGGTAAAATCCATTTCTGGATTTGGGAAAAGTATGTGCGATATGTAGTCTGTAGTCGCAACAGTGCCTTATCTTATGTACATCTAAAGTGTTCAAAAACTATTCACGGGCCGATTCGTCATCTCAATTTTGAACTTTTAATTCATAGCCGAATTAACAGGTCCCTCGATGCTTACATACTACAATGTACACGATTATAAGTACGATTTTAGCTAGGTGAAGTTACGGCACATATTCGAATCCAGGATTATTGTACTTGAAGCGGGCTATCTTGAAGTGCAACGATGCCTCCTGAATGTCCGATATGCGTTTCAACTGCTGCTCGATTTTCTTGCCGTATGAGGCGGCAGGTTCCTTCGGTGCGGATTGAGCTGCTGGTGCGATGTTCGTTACTAAAATAAGAGATATACATATAATACATTGAATTCTACTGGAATTCGGAAAGAACGCACCTTGATAGATGATCTGCGCGTTACCTTGCAGACGCAGCTGTTTGCCGGAACTGTGACCATTGATGACCGTTCGGGAAGGAAGCTCCCGAGGTGCTACATACTCGTACTCTTCGTCCTCCTCCTCCTCCTCCAATTCCTCTTGCTCCTCCTGATCTGATTCTTCCGGTTCCTCATGGTCCTCCACCAGTTCCTTAAAGCCCGGGGCAACTGGAACCTCGCGATATACCGATTCGGCGGAGAATATCTGCAGAGCTCTAGTTTCCAGGGTATTCAAACTATTGCTCTTATCATCTGAACTCTGGCTGCGGCGGTACTTGGCGCGTGTACTGTTCTTCCAGTCGTTGAGGCGCTACAAACAGGAGAAAGTGATTAGTTAACTTGGATTATATGTGGTATTTATACAATACCTTTCGCCATTCTTCTGGGGCCAAAGTAGGACCCACTGTGCACTTGTTCAGCTGATCGCTGAGCTCTTTCCACTTCCTACCATCCTGCGTGCGCCCCAATTTGTTGGCCGACATCAGGGGATTGTCCTCCATGAAGTCCAGATACACCTCGTACTGGTAATAGGATGTGCGCTTGTTGCGGCGGTTCATTTTGGAGCCGAATTTAAGCCAACAATTGAAAACAAGCAAATTGAAACCGACGCCACAAGAAGGCAATGGGCGAAGAACTATCGATAGCCCAAGCAGAGCAGCCTCTCTTGGTTAAATAAAATACCAAAATATTGGGAGTCCATAAAAAATATCAAAATATTCGGTTGGTAAAATTAAAAGAAGTACCTAGAAGGTGCTCATTGATTTTATTACCTGGGTGGTGAACTTCTTGATAATTTCTTATTCGCACTATTATTTTACCTTGTAAAAACATTTTCTTCTCAAAAGTAATATTTGAACCAAACGTCAGTACTATAAAGACTATAGGGAAGGAGGTTCCTTTGAAGGACTGATAAAAATATAATTTGTTTAATTAAAGATACAGTTTTTTATATATTCTGTAAAACTATAAACACTTTTACCCGAGAGTAAAGAAAATATTTCATAGCATTTGAACCGTACCTTTCGTACCTAAATAATTTTAAAGTATTTATAAAGAAGTCGTACCTTCCAGCATTTTTCGGTCTGCGGCGAACGGTCACATCGTAGTGCACAAAAAATCGAGTTTCCTGCATTTTCAGGTGTCAAAATAACCGAGTTAAAGTGCGATTTGAGGTCCGGAAAAAGTGCTATAACCAGCGTCGGACCTTCGAGCACCGACTAGACCGGAAGGGGGTACGGATAATGTGGCCGCTGGCCCGTGAAAGGCCCGTGGAAAACGACGCATGAGACCCGAATTGCGAACCAGATGATAGAGTAGCGTGCCAGCGAGAGCGAGTGAGAGAGGGCGAGAGGAACAGAGAGAGAGAGAGGAGGCCAGAGTAGACACAAAACTCCGAGCGGAGCTCTCGCCCATTTTCCGGCCGATTTCGCAGTCTATATAGCTGTTACAGTCGCTATATAGTCGCCGGAATGGCGGAGGAGAACCCGGGTGGCGAAGTGCCCGATTCGGGGGCGGAGGATGTGGGCGCCTCGGTCATAGTGGAGCCGGGATCCGAGGCATCCAATGCGGGACCACATACTCTACCCGCGGCTGCCATGAAGTTTGCGGATCTCACGGAAAGCGGCAGCGAATCCGGGGACAACGAGACGGAGGAGCCCGTTGCGGCGGGTCCGGAAAACACTGGGAATTCCAACGGGGAGCCGGGCACCAGTGCATCCGCCACGGAGGAGAATACGCCGGCGGAACGCTCCTCGCCGCCGCCCAACTGCGCCATCTGCCTGTCGCGCTGCAAGCGGAAGTGCTTCACGGACTCCTGCATGCACCAGTTCTGCTTCAAGTGCCTGTGCGAGTGGAGCAAGGTGAGTTACAGTCAACTCCAATAGCAATCCCCTAAAGCAATCTCATCCCACAGATCAAACCCGAGTGCCCGCTGTGCAAGCAGCCCTTCAAGACCATCATACACAATGTCCGCACTCTGGACGACTACGATCGCTATCCGGTGCAGAGCTCCTCGCCCGTTCCGCCGGATCATCCCTCGCTGCGTTTCCACATCGTGCGGCGTCCCAGGTACATGCCGCTGGTGCAGAACCAGGCCGTCATGACCAACGACATTGAGGCGGGCATAGCGGCAGGAGCTGCGGGAGAGGAGATCCTGCCGGCGGCCGAGGTGGCAGCCGGGCGGCATTCGTACAGCCGATTTGAGCCGTATCGCGTGGAGCTGATGAACTACTACCGGCACGATCAGGATGCGGCCACCTCGGGCTCGTTGAGCCAACTGTGGCGGCGCTACGTGTACGACAGGAAGCTGTACGCTTTGCCAGTCAGTGATAGCCTGACGGGACACTTCCGCGAGTGGAGTGCCCGGTTTTACAGGTGGGTAGCCAATAACTTCTTAGTCTAAAAGATTATTTTAACTCCTTGCTTTACTCTAGAAACAACCCTGCCCAGATGCATCGCCTGATGCCTTGGATCCATCGCGACATCGTCTGCCTGCTGCGGAATGCCGCGCACAGCGTGAGCACTGTGATGCAGCTGATGCACGACATCCTGCCCATGACCAACATCCTGGGTCCCACATTCCGTCGCCGCCTGTCGCCGTTTCTGGGCGAGCGCACCAGCCACTTCATCCACGAGCTGTTCAACTTTGCCCGCTCGCCCTTCGACATGATCGGCTACGACCATGTCGTTCAGTACTCGGCTCGCGTGGCCGAGGAGGTGGAGGTCGATCTGCTGGACATGGTGGAGACGCAGTCCTCGAACGGCGACGATCTGCATTTGGAGGTGGGCGACAGCGATGCGGATGGCGTCAATGCGGAGTTCTCCAACGACTGGAGCCCGCCCAGCGTGCGTCCGTCGACCAGTGTGATCGTGACCAATCCCGGCGCCACACATTCCTTCAGCGTGACCATGGCCAGCGATGGCAGCGAGCTGCCGGGCATCTCCATAAGGCGCACCACCAACGTGGGCTCGCAGACGGTGGCCATCAACCTGAGCATGCGGCGACCGGCGGCGGCTGCGGCGGTGGCCAGCCAGGAGGCGGAGGTCATCGAGATCGACGACGGCGATGCGGCTGCCAATGCAGAGGTGGCGGCCATCAACGATGGCAGCAATCCGAGCAGGAGGCACGCGGGCGCCACCCTCCCCGTGAGTGCCCACATCGAGCTGCAGAGCAGCAGCAGCTCCGGCGAGGAGGATGAGTGCGTCTTTGTGCTGGAGCTGAAGCCACCGCACCTGCGCACGCCCGAGCAGGTGAGCCTGGACTCGAACAGCGACTCCGATGTGGTCTTCGTGAACGAGCAGAACGAAGCGCCGCCTCCGGCTGCCAGTCTGCAAGTCGACCTGGCGCCACAATCGCCAGTGGATCAGTCGGCCAGGGATCAGGGATTGTTCATGGGCCCCAGCACGAGTGCCGCGGCCACCAGGGGCAAGAACTGGAAGCTTGTGGTGGCGGAGGCGCGTCGCCACGATCAGTTGCGCACGGTGCGCTCCACACGCTCGAAGCGGTCGCGCCAGCGGTCCTCCGTCCCTGACAGCAGTCCCAGCAGCTGCAGCAGCTCCTCGTCCTTCCACTTCAGCAGCAGCAGCAGCGATGACAGCAGTGCCAGCAGTACATCCATTGCGGAGCCGGCCAAGAAGAGACATCGCAAGGTGGCGAATAGAAAGCAGCCGGGAAAAGGCTCCAAGGGGAAGAAGAAAACATCCCGCAAACGGAAACGACCGGCGAAGGAGGAGGAGGCAGCTCTGGAGCTGCAGCGGCGACTGGAGCAGCAGCAGCAGCAGCAGAGCAAAGAGAAGCCGCAACCGGAAAGCAGTAGTGACAGCCCAAGTTCGTCGGATGACGAATCAGCTGGCGATAGCAGCGATACATCTGGTAAGTGGGGTAGGAAAATAGACATTTCTTATCGCTACGTTGACCGAACGTTTCCGTTGAAGATGAATCAATTCATATAGTAGAGGAATTAGTTTTTAAAATGATTGTAAATCATTCTGACGTATTGATTTCACCACATTATCTAAATATTTTACAACGAAACCGTAATCGGTTACGATTTCCGTTTCGAAACAATTCTCTTGAATTCGATTAAGTTGGAACTGGCCTATGGTATAGATGCGGTTATAAATATGCTAACGCTTACATTTTTCTGCAAATAAATTAATCTTTTCGAAATTTCCTGCAGGTCAACCCAACATTAACAACAGCAATACCAGCAGTGATGATTCTGACGATGATAGCACGGAAAACCTGCAGCTCAGTGCTTTGCGGGCCACACTAAAAGCGGAGGCGACTCTGGAGGATAGGAAACCACTCAAGCTGGAGCTTCTAATGCCCGACCAGCAGCGGGAGGTTCCACAAGATACAGAGAGAAATCCAGCGCCAACAGAGGACAACGAGCCGGGATGCAGTGCGCCAAAGCGGCGGAGAAGCTGCAGCAACAGCAATCAGTCCAGCCAGAGCGCCAGTTTGGCCAGCAGTTCGACAGCCACATCGAGCTCAAATCCGATGAGTTCGTTTGCCTGGAGGGCAGCGGGCTATGATGGCGATCCCCTGATTCGGGCCAATGCGGCAATGGACGAGCACGACATAGCCAATTCGCTAATAGAACTATCCACGCTGACGCAGCCCAGGGACATTGGACTCTTCAACGAGCATTCGAATTCGGGAGAGATTTCCCTGAGCCTGCTGCGCAATTCTCTACGTGGAAGCTCTCGAGCTCTGGAGGAGAATGACGCAAATCTGGGCATCTATTCCGATGCAGATGCGGATCCAGAGGCCAGCAATGAACGGAATGGCTTCACCCTGGAGCCCGCAATCGATGTGGTTGGAGAAGCGGAGGTGGAAACCGCCGAGGATACAGCCACTGCCACTGAAGAACAAGATGAAGAGGACGAGGACGATGACGATGAAGGTGAAGGTGAAGGCGAAGATGAACAGGACGAGGAGAAAGCTGAGGAGGACGAAGAGGATGAGGACGATAGCGAGAACAACGATGATGAGGAGGTGGATCGGGAGCTACTATCGTTTTTAGCATAAGCTATTGACTTTGGTTTTCATTTAAGTTTTTTATTTAAAGGAATGTTTAACTGGTTTCCGTCTTGTCTTGTTCCGATTCCTAAGCCCCTGAACCCAAAAAAAATAATAATTAATGTAACTTGCTATGTAAGTAACTAAAACCAGTAAGCGTAAGCTCAAACTAGATGTATCTTAGGCGTAATGTTGCCATTTTAAGTTGTACATATTCATAAACCAATATCCAATATACATATATAAATATATATAATTATGTTTACACACCAATCAACTGCAAAATTATTTAAATGTAATCGCATGTAGCCCACCCAAAAATGCATTCGATATCCCCAATGATCGGCCCCTTCCCATCCCCACATCGGTTGTAAATGTACTAGTTTAAGTTAACGACATATACTAACCATAAACAATGGCAACTAAATTTACTGTTCTTAGCTTATAAATCATACAACTAGCTCTGGATCAATGTGTGGCGAGAGTGTTAATGTTTTTTGCATAAATGGGCGTGGCCAGTTATGAATTTTAGAGTACTCCGCATACAAAGAACAAAAAGTATCTATAATACGAATCAAATACATAATAAATGTAAAAATTAAATGTACAACATTTTTGATTGTTTATCCTTTTTTATTAACGAAAAAAAAAGACTTTTCCTTAAATTACTTTTAAAGTAAAAATGGCTGACAACTCTGATTTTCAAGGAATTTAACAGTCTATGGAATACCCCAAACAAAACCAAACTTACTTTCGTAACTTTGTAAAAATTCTTTTTAAAATAGAAATCTTTTTTAATTTACATTCAGTTTTTAAATTTTAATTTTTTCCCACTGAGGTGTGATTTAACAAGTTTTTGCATATAAAAAGTTCCCCCAGATTGCTTGTGAATGATATTAATCGCATCGTGTAAAAAGCCTCATGTCTGAACATCATTGTCAAATTTGACACCGCATCGTGTAGTGTAGAGAGCCCCAGGAGTTGTGACTGCGCAATAAACTTAACTTTTGCGCTCAAAAGGTTTCCAATTTCAATTCAATTTACGCTGTAATTGAAATATTATTTGTTTGGTTACTGTAAGGTAAATAATACTTGTTGAAAACGAGAAGTCACTTATTCCAGGAATTTTCTCAGTCAGCTGAGGTTTCGTGAGCTTTAAAGTTACAACGATGTTGCCCCGCCACATGGTCAACTGGCGTTTGTACGTCTACACCAACTCTCTATATTCCATTCCCAATGAAGAGACGTCCGGATATCGCGATTGGTCGCCCCAACATTTCCGGTGAGTTTTGGCAACCTCAGGAAGAATTGCCTTATTAAACTGCCTTTCTTCTCAGTCGGAATCCCTTCGAGATCCATAGGATTATGAACTGGGTGAACCGGGATATTTCGGTAGTCGTGAAATCCGGCCAAACGGATGTTTTCTATCTGTACGAGACCATCTTGAACCTGCTAACTGAAGTTAGCATCAAAAGTCTGGATTTCGGCTTGGCTGTGGTCCACTACTTCGGGGGCAAGACCCATCAATTCACCCACGAACTGATGAACTTTGCCCGATCCCCGTACGATGATATCATAGCCTACGAGTGCAACACTCTGTACAGGGTTTTGCCGGGTGGCGAGGGAGGAGGTCCCACTACCTCCTCGATGGCCAGAGATCAGCAGTTCTTGTCCTCCAAACTGCACAACTTTGTGGAGTTCTCGCGGAGCATCAATTACGACGATTGCGGTGGCTTCGAGGCGGATTTGGCCCTGGAGGATGAGGATTTCGAGGAGCTGGATGACCTGATGGTAGAGCGCTTCAGTCGTTCCCACTTCGACGGGGAAATGTCGACAGCCAGAGCGAGGCCAGCAACGTTGATCCCACCGGCTAGCCAGCAGGCTGGTCCGGCGAATCAGCCAACTCAATCCCAGCAGGCGGCACAGCAGCCGGCTCAGGCTCAGTCATCCCAGCAGGCAGCACCACGGGCTTCGCAGCAGGCCTCCGCCTCCCTCCACCTCGGGCAGCCATCAGGCCAGCGGACTGCCCCTGGAGGATCTGGAACTCGAGGTGGCCATCGAGCGCAGCCTGTTCGAGGGGGCCGCACAAGGATTCGTCCTGCCGAGCGGACGACTGGTGCGCTTGTCCAATACCAATAGAAGTTTGGTGCGCAATACCAACTCATCAGGGTCAGGATCGGGATCGGGATCGGTATCGGGATCGGGATCACGATCAGGATCGGGATCAGGATCAGCTGCTGCCGCTGGCGCCTCCCCAGCCGCCGCCCAGAATCCTTCAACTGCTGTGCGTGGACGACGTCGCCGCCTGCCACATTCGCGCTAGGATAAGTCCCTAATTACACTTACTTTCAACTCATGTATAATACAATTGATGCTCCCTGTCGCTAAAGCACAGAATAAAGGGTCCAAAAGGCATTAAAAATTGATAACGATAACGGTATTGAATAGCTGGAGAAAAAAGGACAGGCCATCAATAAGGACAGGCCGTGGAAAATTGCGTGCCAAATATGCCTTTAGCGCATATTTCCCTTTTGTCTTAATTTCGGCCGAAAAGGTAGCAGCCAATCCCCAATCCCCACCCCACATCCCATGTCACATGGCGCATGAAAAATTGAATTACACGCACTTTTGCGCATAAACGGGAAAGCTAAAAACAAAAAACACAAAAATGTTGAGTGAAAAATGCGGCCGATTTAGGGTTTTTCTCTGGAGGAGGGGCCGCCGCTTCAGGAGTTACGGGAATTACGGGAGCAGAGGTGCCCCAGCTGCTTGTGGTACCAAATTCACGGCCAGAAAATTGAGTTAAATATTCCTTTTCTTTCGGTGAGGCTTACTTGTCTTTCCCTTTTTTTATTTTTGGTTTTTCGGCAAAAGGTATAATATAATTGTCCTGCCGTACGGTAATTCAATGCATATTTGATTTTATGATTCCGCCGGCACAAAGGAGCATTAATGCATATCGAATGAGGCCCTCTGAAATCGAATCGAATCATCATAATTGTCAGGGGGCGTAAACTTCGGCCATTAGGCCATCTAACTGAAGATGAAAGATGCCGCATGACGGCGGTATCTAATTTGATCAAGTTTCCCCTTTTATAATCTGCAATTTTTTGGATTTTTCAACCAATAAGCCCTTTTCCGAAATAAAATAGTTTTCTAAAATGAGAGGAAAAATTGATAATATTTCACCGGATAACAATTTAAGTCTAAAAAACCTCATAAAAATATTATTAAAGTATTATTTTAATTTAAATTAACTTTATTAACTCATAACAATTCACAAATGCGCAAAGAGTAAATCCCGAAATCCAATCGAGTGATAATGGCCGGGATAAGAAACTTAAGCCTCCGGGCGAAGCCAACTGTAGATGAAAAGTGCAGCTTGAAGCTGTCCAAAGGACTCCATCACCGCCAGGATCCCGGCTTAGCTCTGCAAAAGTTATCCCTTGGTCTGGATGTCATTAGGGTTTTGTCGGCTGCATTTGCTTGGCTCGACTGACAAACTAATTTGCGTAATGTTGACGAAAAACTTTTTATTTGACTTGCTGACTTGGCCCAAGCCGCCCGCCCACCAAACGCCACCTCCTTGGCTTTTTTGTGAGAGACAGCCAAGAAATAAAAGCGAGACGATTCAAAACTTTCTGCCAGTTTGCACTGCATTTTAAGATGTTGAATTGGGGGCGGTGAGGCAGTTGGCGGGCTGCGGTGCCCGGGCCAAGAGTAGTTTGCCAGCCTGGATTTAAGTTTGAGTTGCAAATTACGCCGCCGACTTGAATTAAACGTTTCAGATATCACGCATACGCACCGCTGCCTCGCCGGCGCCAGCCGAAGGAAGGATCTTTAATGTGCATTTCATGAAAATGACTTGGCCGATCTGCATAAAATATTCAAACATATACAACCGCTCGGAGGGCCGAGATTTTCCGGGACCCCAACGAATTATCTCGCATAAGTGTTCGGTTCCGAGTGCTTTTCGTTGTTTGGCTTATCTCAAATTATGCGCGTGGCGTTGGAGAATTAAAATAATTTCCACATTCGCCGCGGCGAGCAATTAATCAAGGCTGCGGTGCGGGAGTTATGAGCTCGCATTTAGGCCGAATGTTTTGGGCCGGGTCCTGATTTATGGCTGTCCTCCGGCCACCTGTCGCCCCCGCAGCTCATCGGCTTTCCCTAACCCTGGAGATACGCCGACAATCTGCTCATCGTGCCGCTCGATATCCCGCTGCAATGTGTCACTTTCGGTTTTATTCTTGTCTTGCCTTAGATTTCCGAACCCGACATTTTCTGAGTTCTCGGTGGAAAGTCCTTCTTCCGTGGAATCTGATTTTGCACAGTGAGAAATATATGTTTTAATTGTCACTACTTACTATTTTCAAAATTTCTACTTTATGATAGAAATAAATCTTTTCTTAATCTAAAGATATTAGAATAATTAAAAAAATTTAATAAGATATATGTGATATATGTGTACTCTGTGATCTCGGGATCTCTAAATATTTTTTTTACTTTTAGTTCGTTATAAGTAAGTATAGCTAGCTAAGTAGTCAGCCTTTTTATTACCTTAAATGGTATTCAAAATAAGTAAATAAGGGTGCTCTATTACTATCTTTTTCTGAGTGCATTCGTCTGTTTTTCCCCTTTCGGCATTTGCCAACTTTAATATGTTGGCACAGCACGGAGGCACGGCTTTCGCGTCGAGTTTCCATTACATTGCAGCAGAAGCCGGATGTTGAAATTGTTGAGGTTGCTTCGCCAGCGCGGCAAAGTTGTGTGTGCTGGTGTAAGCAGCTTAGCAGACTCCTTCGACGGCTGGCAATGTTGAGAAAATTGCCAGGAATACCATGACTACCGCGACGCGATTCGAAATCGAATCCGGACGCAAACACGAAACCCAATCGCGGTCCTTTCTTTAAATGTTCAATCAAAAACATCGCACGGATTCTGGGGGAGTGATTCAATTTTGCCACAATTGTCGCAGCTTAACTCTTAAGCAGCGACTCCCTCGATTACGTAAACGATTTGAAGTGGAAAAGCCATAAAACAGTCATCACTTTTCAATAAACATGTATACTTTGCATTTTTATCCATGATACAGCACTAAAATAAATTTGCAATCTCTGTTTAAGGAGCCAATCAATCAGCTTTATATTTCTTCTTTCCATTTGGGTCAGCACTCAAATTAAAATTGATAAATTGAAGGAAGAATTTAATTTGAATTTCATTTAAACTAAAATGGTCAAAAAAATATACATGTAGCTAGCTTTAAGATGTATAATTCTGTATTAATATTTATTTTGTAAATGGTAAATTTACATTTGATTACTTTTCGGTATTTCCCTGGAATGACATTTAATGTGCATGTTATTTCTCGGAAAAAAACAGTTTTAACTGTATTTAAAAGAAATTCGTATGGTCGAGGTAAAATTTTTATTAAAATTCAGTTTACATTTTTTCCATCTTGCAGGCTGAAGTAAAGATTTAACTGGTGTGAATGGGCGTTTTTTCGATACTTTATTCTATGCTTGCCTGTTGCGTGACATTCGATATTCGTGTTTTTCCTTTCCGCTGCCGATGATTTTCCCCGTAGCTGACTTTCCACTTTCTGGCTGGAGAAAATGCGTGTGTCATAAATCTACTCCCGCGCCTTTCGCTTAAAATCAAGCTATTTATCACAAGGCGGCGAGGACGACGACGTCATGCTGCTGCGGTGGCAGCCAGGATACAAGGATACAAGGATGCCTGGGTCCTGGATTCTGGGATGCCAAGATGCCGGAATGGCAGAATGCCACAGTGCCGCACACTCTTATCATCATCGAAGTGCGACGGAGACGCATATGTTCCGTAGCTGTTGATGCCTCTCAGCAGGATTTTTTATGGGTAGAAAGTTGCGGACAACAAACTTTTCTTACTGCCGCTCCTGTTTTTTGCTACGGCTTCTGGCCTCATGGTGCGTGCGAAGGTGACAAGAATCCGGTAATTTGTGCCTCCAAGGTTAAATGTTAATGTTCGCCATTATACAAACATTTGACGTTTTGTTTTGGCAGCAGCAAACGGGTTATGAACACGTGCGACAGCCGTCCAAAAGGTCCTCGTTGCGTATACGTAATTTTTTATGCTCCTGCTAATTTGACTGGCGGCAGGTAATAACGCTCTCCCCCCGGCCAGAAGTTTCCTTTAGTTTGCTTAGGCTGCCGGCCATAATTTAAAGAAGCCAAACTAAACATGGCCAACGACAATGTTTACGCTTAACTGTTTTTCCGCAATGAACGGAGTTGGCGAGCCCAGAGGACATACAGTGCGACGTCGAAGTTTATTTTCAAAATTTTTCAAATTTCAAAAATATTTTTTAATTCTATTCTGGTTTTACAATTTTATATTTAAAAAACTCCTTAAACTCCTGTATTTAAATTTTAAGATTATAAACAGTAAACCAATTTTCTAAAAAAAACATAAACAGTAGTAAATTTAAAAATGACTGTTGATTGTTTAACGTTTACATTTACCGTGGAATTTTGGGAATATTTACTTTGATGTTGCATTTTGAACAGTTTTTATTAAATTTAAGGAACCTGCCAAAGTGGCATCCAACTTAGAGAAGTTTGACTGTACTTGCGGGATGACCTTTTGGGTCTGACTTGCGAGAGACTTGAAATGGCTGCTAGGCGACCGTCTTAATGGCAGCTCCAAATGTTGCTAATGTTAATTTAAGAAAATATTCCAACCCGGCCATGTGCGAGTGTGAGTGTGTGTGAGTGTTGCCTGGAAACACTTGCGGCGTGGCAACATTTGTGCATTATTATTTGCGGTCAAGTCTTTTGTGGCTTGGCCCTTTGGCATATCCAAACCCCTTTGGAGCCGCAGCAAATAGCTTCGCCAGCAGCGAACTAATTAAAGAAATATTCATTTCAAAATACTTGTAGCTCCGGCGGAAATTACACACCCAAGCCCACACACACACTTATGCTTTGACACACCGCTTTGGCTTCGCATTTGTGACGTGCATGAGGCAATCAATTATGGCGAACCGTTTTGCCAAAAAAAGCGTGTTGCCTACTTTTCCGGCGCCCGCGTGTTTGCCAACACAGCAGCACAATTAATTATGTACATTGGAGCCCTTTTTCCCCCCATCACCCCTTCCACTTCCATACCCTCGTTCTTTGCTGTTTGCCCAAGTCTGTGCTTGCCCACACAGAGAGAAACAATTTATGGTTTATTTGAACTAAACGTCATTTAAACACAATACAATTAATGTTTTGTCTATGCATTTTGCTTTATTTTACCTCTGATAGTAATTTTCTTTTGTATATTTAAAATTACTTAGAGCCGGAAGCAGGAATTGTTTGTTTTGCTGAATAAATATCTTGTAGCATGCTTCTTGAATACCACATTTGCTGTCACTTCTTATAAGGGGATTAGGAAAATAATCAAACTTGCATAACAGATGATATAAAATTATCATTAAAATCGTCATCTAAAGCATATTTATTAAAAAAATTAATTTGACTTATAAAAAATAATTTTTTATGTAATTTAAGTTTGTTTTCAAACCAAATTCGATACGTTTTTTAACCTTTCAATCATAAGTTTATTACAACGCAAACAACGCAAAGCTTATAATTTTTTTCCATTTTCTGACAGTGCAGAGAAAAAAACGCAGAAGGATGAGAATCATCCTTGAGCTTAGACGACAGCATATGCTCATGCATGCCTAATTACGATAAATCCTTGCCCTTGCCCGCTCTCACTTGCCAACTTTCAGCCTCACCCCCTCCCGCTCCCACTCTCACTTTCACTTTCCCTTTCGAGACAAACTTAGTTCGCGAGAACAAGCGCGCCCAAATGAAGTAGGCTGAAACAAAAACAAAAACAGCAGCCGCACTTCACAAGGATCTCTCTCTTTGTATGTTTGTGTTCGTTCTCGTTGAGCGCATGAGTGTGTGTAGGCGTTCATAATTATGGCCGTATTTAGAGAAATTGGTTATTATGTGCTTAACGCCATTTGTCTGACTGGAAATAGTTTGTTTTCGGCGGGACCCCTACTGTGGATAATGCCCTTGGGGAGGTGTGCTTAGCCAGTTTCTAAAACCGGAAATAACGCTTAAGAAGCCTCGAGGAGCTTTGGTTAATTACGGCTATGTATGTAGTATGAAAATTACTTTAAATGACGTTACAGTAAAGCAAAAGGAAGAAAATAATTTAAATTTTTAGAGGCCATAACCTTAATTACTTATGTTTTCCTATCTCTATTTAATAAGTATTTTTAGTTCAATTAAAACGTCCAGCAAATTCTGTAATTATTTCTTTACTTAGAACACTTGAAATTGAAAGAGAAAAATCTTCAGTTAAGAAGCTAGTTAATCCTATTATATTAATTAAACTTATGGCATCCTTTGACTGGACTTTAAATAGGCCCACTTTCATCGCTCTAATCCCTTGGATATTTCAATTAAATTTCCCTGTGAAATTCCAATCAGGTAGCAACTCTCGTGGCCACCCTCTTAGTTAGTTGTGCTTGTTGGCTAATACTTGAAATTGTTTGCTAATTCGTTATTATTGCCACTTTACCACGTTGCTCCTGTATTGGCTCCCCCTCTTTGGGCAATTAGCACAAGGCGACGGTCGGCAATGCCAAGTGTCCCCTTTTCGAGTGGCTTTCACTCGAAGATCCGGATTCCCTGCATGCATGTCCATCAATAATGTATCCTGGCGGCTCCTTGCCTCGTTCGTTATGCCATCTGTCAATTGGCCATCCATCAGTTCTAATTAATCATGCTCGGGCCTAATGAGTTGCTCTCAAATATGCAGGGAATGAATGGATGCCACTATTTCGGTTCGGACCGGCTGCTAATGGAAATGGAAATAATAGGTCATGCGATACAATTGTCGCCGAATCGATAGCCTTGTTGCAGTGCACACAGCTCACAATGCAATGCCCGGCACTACGCAATTTCAATTCCAAGCGAACCAACAACTGCGCATGAAAAACATGCACAGGAAAAAATATAGCACCAAGTAAGTATTGGCAAACTTATCGGTATGGTTAATATATTTAATAGTTCTTAAACAGCATTCCTACAAAGTCAAACTCATATAAAAGCACAAAAAGGGATTAAAGTGAAGAATAGTAGTTTTAAAAAAATAGTTTTTTAAGGTAAGTTATTATATAAATAAAAACTATGTTCAATTTGTATCCAAAAGGATCTTATTATATTTGTTCGAATTGTTTTTTCGGAATTTAGAGATATGCAAATGATTTCCAGTTGGTTTTGACTTTTTCTGCGTGTTCTAGAGGATTTGGCTGCGGCTATGGCGATGTTAATGGGGACTGACCTAGAGTCCGTCAACAACTTGAGCTGCCTTGGCGAATGTGTTGACATCTTTGTTTTGGCCCGCTCATAAATCGTTTTTTTTTCGATTTGTTTTTGTTTTGACTGCGGCTGCGGCTTTGTTCAGTTGACTCTTTTAGCGGAAAATGATTTAACGGCAAACTCGATTCATCAGCTTATTGACAAGAAACTGTCATGGGAAACAAGCGAATGACCAGACAAAAGACCAAATGTCTGGCGAGAAAGGCAAAATGCAGACCAATTATACTGAATGTGATGACAGAGAGCAATGATTCTATTCATAGAATATTAAACGTGTAATACATAAACATTGTGAAAATAATAATAAATTGAGTACAACAAATAAGGGCTGTTCTGATATTGTAAAAACATTTATATCTAATTAATTATTTTGTAATTAAAAAGCTTATATGTATGTTCCTACACAGAAATATTTTTTTAGTTTATGAGTTATATCTTATATAAACAAAAAAAAAGAAAACAATTATAATTATAGTTTGGTGAAAAATATAAAATATGATTTTATCACAAAAGAAAAATACAAATAAATCAAATACAAGATACCAAATATAAATATCTCATTCCGTACTGCCAGTCAATAAATTTTCTTTTGCATTACTGCCTTTTACCACTTCTAATTAGCCTTGATTTCATAACCATATAAAACTCGCGTGAAATTTGTTAAGACATCAATTTCCTTTTCCTATATAAGTATCAATAAACGCCTTTAATTTCTATAAATATTTAGAAGAATTCTAAAATGAATCATTCTGGCTGAAAAATGCGTGGGCAAAGATCTTTTTCCTTAGCTTTTCTTTCTGGACTAAGGAAAAGTGAAAAGCTTAATGTAGAAACTGCGGAATAAGCCAGAACAATAACAGGTAATGATATGTATTTAACCATATATATTCGCACTTGGACTTTCTGCGCGACATTGTAAAAAGCAAAATGAATTCTTGCCGACAATTATGGTGTATATATTATATATAATTCATGCACAGGTTCGTTGGGGTCGGGTGAAGCTGCGGAACAACAAAAGTGCTACGTGAAAGTGGGAAGAAGACACAGAAATATTTGTGGTACTTTTGTTGCTGCCTCAGGTTATATTTATAAAATTTCACCTCAAGAACGGCTGATCATCAAGCGTTCGAGAGTCGAGCAGAGAAAAACATTCATTTTCATTTCTGGCACGCTCGCGAGTGGACGTGCGGACCGATACGCCGATAATAGCTATAGCCCAGTTCGATTCCCATCCACCTATATATACCTATACCAATATATATAGATAGTGCATATAGCGAGGTGTAAAGATCTGTCCATAGATCTTTCACCTGTCGCGCAGTGCGTGAGGGTGCGAAATATATGCGAAAGGCACCAGTAATCGCGTCGCGAGTGTTGGTTTAATCCGAGGAAAATAGATATCGAACCTCAGTTTGAGAGTGAAGTCAGTGAAAGTCCTTTTTGCCGCCAAGGCATGCGAATAAATTTGCAAAAGTTACGCGAACCATCGGCAAATAGGAGAAACCAACGCAAGTGAGTCGTTTGGGGGAATGCGTCCTCATTTTAAACCCGTTTTGGGAAACGCATTCAAATGGAGATGAGCTCGACGCATTCAATGGCTGCTGATTATGTAAAAAAAGCGAGAGGAAAGGCGTAAAAATCCGGCGAGAGAAGAAGCTCGGGAAAATTTCACCTGGCCGACAATCGCGTTTTCCCAACAGCCCACTTTGCACACTCCCACGATTCCCACATTCGTGAAAAGCTGTCAAAATTATTTTCATCTTCTTCAGCTTCGCGTTCAAAATTTATTAACACATTTTGACATAATCATGTATACAAATATATGTAAATGAGGATCTGTTATATCTGTATAAATGTGTATGTGTGCATAGCTCATCAAAAAGCATGGCAATAATTTGCCCACACACAAACACACGCACACCAAGACGCACATTGCTCATACGCCGCGTTGCTGCCTTATTTTTAGTTCGATTCAATCAGCGACATTTTCCGAGATTTTCTATTTCCATTTTTGCTATTTGTGTTTGTCTTTTGCCCGCTGCTCGCTTATCATTGATTGCTTTGTTTGCTTTTGTTTCGGTTTCGGTTTTGCTTGTTTCTTCTTCTCTCTCGCCTTTTTTCGGAATGTTTGTGGTTCGAGTCTTGTGTATTTATTTTCATTTTCACACCTCTCACCGAAAACATTTAATTTCTCGTTTCGAAATATATAAAAATAAAAGCAAAAATAATGCGGAAGATTAGGTGGGAGAACGAGTGTGGGTTTGAATTTGTGAGCCGCCTGAAAGTAGGCAACAGTTTTTTCCAGTTTTCCTTTTAGCCTTATTGCAAGCACCTTGCTTTTTTCATCTCTTTCTGCTTTCCGCCTTTCCTCTCCAACCCCACCACCCATCCATGGCTCTTTTCGAGAGTGCTTCAGCTTGTCGGAAGTTCAAGGTCACCGGCTGCATTAAAGAAGTGCCATTGCAGTTTGCCGGCAATAGATACTCACTTAAACTAGTTTTGATTTAGTAGCGCGAATTTACCGACCAACTTTTATAACTTAAATTGAGAACTGCTGGAAATGTTGCAATCTGGCAACATTAATGCGAATCTAATATGTTTATGTAGTTTATTCAAACTTAAAGCTTATTTAAAAAGCTTACACAATTCGATGATTCCTTTTTCAAAAATTTTTTTATTGTGAGGAAATTTATTTGCTTTCAAGTTTTTTTTCCGACAATAATTCCTAATTTTTACAAAACGTTTAAACTAATCCAAGTCTCTGTTGAACTTAAACTAGGAAGAACTTAGATATGGTCAATTCAATGTCCAAATCTCTTGGGACATTAAAGTTGAAAACAAAACAAAACGATTTTAATGTTAGCAATGGGCTTAACTTTCGCTCTTTCCACGTTCTATTTTAAGAAATAATCAGGCATTCTCCCACTCTTTATTTTCAAGGTGTCTTTAAAAGACGGCCGTATTCGCTTGGAAAAAGAATTCGATTAAGTTTCGCGGAAGTCCATTCAACCATTTAGTCCTTTTAGAATTCAGCGAATTCAGATGCAATATCTTAATGCGATTTTTCTTAGAATGTTGTCCAATAATGTCGCTGTGAAACAGTATTGCTTTTACACAGAATTTGCTTAACGTTTTTTTTATTTACTTTCAATTATATTCGCTCTTAAGTTTTTCCTTACAGTTCGGTTAAGTGGATTTCTTTACTCTAAGACTTAAATTTCTAGCATTCTATTAAATAATTAATAATTGACAGGGTTTTGTCAATAAAATTAATCAATATATATGGGAGCCACAAAAACATCGGGGCGCTCAAAATAAATTAAAAAGAAATTTTAGATGTGTTTAAAAGTATGCAATAAACAAAGAATAGCCTGCCTGAATAGCCTAAACAACCTTTTTGGGATAAACCAATTTCGGCATGTACGAGTAATTTTAAAAAGCCCTTTCTGTGGCATATAACACTATTAATAAAGTTTTAGTTTAACAACAGAAATATTTGTAAAATTTAAAGTTGATATAGTTTGCCTCAATACTAGCAATTTTGTTATAATTTTCTAAAATGTAATATTAAAATAAAAAATTATAATAAAATATTATTATAATACTATATATAATATACACAAATGATAAGTGGATCATAAAAATGGTTTATGCACTATGTCTGTCACAATAGTAAAAACAACATAAAATTAATGCAATTTTGTACGATAGCGATTTTTTGTTAGATTGTGTACATTGTTATTTCATTTGCGTCACGTCGTCAGCTTTACAACTGCACATACACGTAATCAAATTTAATGTAAATGTTGTAAACAACTTTTTTAACTTTAATTGGATTTGTGTGTACGATATACAGAACTTTCAGCAAGGAAGTTCGAATGCCACGTGTCATTATAGTTTCGGAAATTGGTTTTCCATTGTTTTATTGTTTTCTTTAATTGAAAGCAACTTCGGCGAAAGCCCCACCACGGCGAGTTAATTAAAATGATCAACTGGCGATGCCATATGTTCGACCCCACCTGTTCATTCATTAACCCCGTCAAGTGTGTGCAGCCAAGGAGCTTATCTGTCGCAATGCACATTACAATGAGGACCTTAAGCGCATTTCGAACTCCATTATCTTTGACTGTCAGCCACCCACCTCATTATTGTTTTGCGTACCGCAGCCTTTGAGGCCGTATAATTAAGTTGGCATCATGCGGCTCATGCACAGCGTGTTAATGGCCAGGTAAATGGCCCCTCGTCCCCTTCTCCCATTTTAGCGCAATCGATCTGACCATTAAATGGCGGCCGAGTCAATTGATGTCGCCAGGGTGTCTCTCTCCCATTTCGCTGTGTTTCCTGCTGAGCGATGGCCAAAAACTGAATCGATTAATCATCGAATTTGGCACTAGCAATTGCTTTGCCTTCTGAATAAATCTAAATCAAAATATTTCTTTATTTTCAGCCAGCAGAGTTAACAGCCAAAGGAACAGGCCCCGTTCAAGGGTGCCTCGGATACCGTAGTCAAAAAGAAAACAAAACAAAAGAAGACAGCATCACTAAGCGTAAGTAATCACCGCAGAAATTGGAACGTCACAATACTTACATTGTAGTTTTAAGTTTTTCCTTTGGGAGTGCAGCTAAAATTTCAAAAAGTTTCGATTGCATCTGCTCCTCTGTCTGCTCCGTTTATTTATAGCCCAAAAATACTGTGCAGTTCTTTTTTTGGCCGAGGAGTGCAGACTGCAGTCTGTGGATTCCGGGCTAGTGAGTTTCTATTTTCAGTGCATTCCCAGAAGGGAGATAGTTTGATATATACAGAACCAGAGGAACGGAGTTCTGACCTTGAGAAGAGTGCATAGAAGAAATGGGTTTTAAATTCGATAGTTTTCGGGAAAGAATGGTTGAGAAAGGTAGAAACTTAAGTTCTGTTAACTTACTTAATATTTATAGTTATATTGGAATGAAACTTAAGCTTTAGGCGTTTTATTCTGATCAAATTATTTCATTTTTGAAATTATATTGAATTCGAAATTCATATTTTGTAAAATAATCAGAAATGAACTGTAATATTTAAAAACTATAATTGTGATGTAAAGTATTTAATTTCATGTACGTACAGACGAATGTATCTCTTGTTATTTATTTTTTAACAGAATCTCTTATTTTAGAAAAACATTTTGGTAATAAACTTAAGGGCTTTGTAAGCTTTAGTTGGTTTAATCCAATTATCCGTATTACTTACTTCCTAAGGAACGAAGTGCAGGGCTAACCGTCTGATGGAAGTGAAAACTTTTCAATTAGCACGGCGTAATCTTTGGCTAGTTTTCCGGGGCGGCGGTGATGGGCGGCGAATTCTCGCGATGCTCGCTCCAATTTTCAATGAAATTTATTTTTAGGGCCCGTTACAGCGAGATACACAAAAGCACACAAATAGCACAGCAATGGGATATATATGGAAAATGCCGGCGTGCGTCCGAATGGGAAAAGCAGCTCAGTTGATGACGTCAAGAGTGTGCGTTCATGTATTTGTACTAAATGTACGAAAGTCTTTTGGGATAAGTCAATAAGTAGCCGATGTCCAGGTCCGAGGCGAGAAGTGAGAACTCCATTTTGGAGTCGAATGCATTGCCAAGTACTCTCTGTATCTTTGTACTCATTTGTATCTTTGTATCTCATTGATGGGCTGCAGCTATAGATACAGCTACATTTACACACGCACGATACCAAGAATATATATTTTTGCGTTCTTCTTGCGATCGCGCATTTTGTTTTGTTTCGCTCTCTTCTCTCCTGGCGATAAATACGTTTATATATACACATAAAGTATCCGCAGATACACAGCGAAATCGGGAGAGAATTCGGCGGATTGTATATATTTAAAATATTGTAGACTGCTCATGTGCTTGGCAATTTTCACTTGCCTTCAGTCGCTTTTTACATTTCCAATCGAATTCTACAAGGCGCGTAGCCCAGCGAAAATTGAAACAAAACCAAAAAAAAAAGAAGAAAATATATACTTACATATAATAAAAATTCAAACGAAATCGCACCGATTCAGATTTATAGAAAGTGAGGCAAGGCGAACGGAAATCGATTGTACACATTTAATGAAAGTGCCCCGAAACGAGTTGGTAACGATTGAGTTTTAAGGCTTCTCGCATTGCCAAAACCAATTGCATTTTATGATTGCCTTCGAGTGCCGCTTTGACAGCAACAGCAAGGATTGCCAAATAGTTTCCCATTTCTATTGGTGAGTTTTGGGCTTCCATGTATTTTCCATTTCGGATTTCTGTTCAGTTGCGGCTGACCCAAATTTCATCGAATTCATTTCAATTTATTTGTGTTGATTTCAATTTTCAGTGCTTTGCGTTGATGATTTTCTGTCACCAACTGTCAGCTGCGCGAAAAGTTTGACCCATTTTCAGCTTTTCTCTTTTTTACTTTTGGCAAAAAACTTTCAGATAGCCAAGTGTGCTTGTTTCCGTTTCCTGTTGGCCATTTACTGTTTCCTGCCGCATAACTCGACTTAATTTTAACACCCTCAAGGTTAATGATTCTCTCGACGTTTCTTTCTGTAAACAAAACATTGAACAACTGTCGCCGTCAATTTGGCATTTAAATGAAAACAAAGAGAGCAGTGCAAAAGCTCAGGGGAAACCAGAAAACACAGATTTTAGCTTCAAGAACATTTAACATTTTCACGGATAATTGGTTTCGGTATATTCGAAAATTACTCAGCCAGAGTGAATGCATTCAGGGATATGTGCGAGTATTTCGGGGATTTCTTTCAACAACCCTTGGCCGAATGACCTCCCATCGCTTACCCATTTAAACTGAATGTAAAAGGGGGCATTGGGTTTTTGTATGGTTATGCCGGCTTCTGGTGGCTTTCATTATGCTGGCGAGCAGCTTTCGCTATTCATTTTAATCCTTTCAGCAGCGATTCACGAATGCAATGGTCAAATTAGATTCGCCACACACACACTGCACTTCGCTTGAAACCAAAAAAAAGGACGGCACTTTCTAAAAAGACCGCCCTGCTGCCTCTGCCTTTATCCACCACGCACAATTTGAGCGGGCGACACAATTTCTATTCAATTTGATTTTAAGCGCATTTTCCAGTTAATTGCACTTCGTTCGCATATGTCGGTTAGCTCGCACATAAATACGCACATATATCCACTTTTTGCGATAGCATCATTGTGAACTTTTGGCCGCATTAAATTGATGCTTTAAATATCCGATACCAAACCGTGACAAACACGACAATAATGGCCAACAGGCACACGACAATTAGCGGTGGCCATCATGGACATGGAGCACCGATTCCATGGCTACATACTCCCACGTTCCGCGCTTATTTACGAGCAGGAAGTGCGCATTGGTTGGCGTTTTTGTGCGCGACACACGCGGCGTATACGCGATGCATATTGCCAGCAACTGCGAAATCGTATTTATATTTATACTTCATATACGCGGCTGCCCGATTTTCTTCCCTCTTAATACGAAATGTGTGTCATTTTTATTATTAAAATCTCAACTGCTGCCAGCAATGTTCCCTTTTCCATGAGGAAGGCGAATGTGAGAAAGCATTAAAAAATGCTGCAAGTAGCTTATGAAATTGTGCAATGGAAAGTGAATTATATTTCTGACATATTGCTTTTGTTAAATTTTACGCGAAGAGGTTGTTGCTTTTATGAAAAATGATTTCATAAATAATAAACCAAACAAATTATTTAATTTTTCCCATTAAAGTCAATCAAAATTAATGTTTTGAACGCCCATTTTAATCTGTGAAAAATACTATTATTATTTTGATGTATAAATCAATTAATAGCGATTACAAAAATAATACATTTGCCAAAAATACTCAATCACTAAATTAAATAGTGGGTATTTATATTTCCACGTCATGGACTTGGTAAACTGTCTTCAAGTGAAGCGTTTAATGCAAATACAATTTGTCAGCTGCAGGAAGTGCATCACACCCGTATAAATGAATCATGCTGCTAGTTTCTCCTTGTGAGTCAGAAATGCTGAAAGCCTTTGGCATTTAATGTCCTGATTATTTACCCCATTTTGACAATTTCTTATCCTTTGACTCTGCTACTTTGGAATCGTATTTCTCATTATTTAGTGAAAATGTTGACTGACGTTTTAATAATACTTGAAGTCAAGTGCAGCGAAATTGGAGACACACATACACATGGCATACAGAATTCTCATATCAAAGCGTTTTCCTCGGTTTTCATTTGCTGATGAGGGCAAAAAGAGGGGAGAACATCTGATACTGTTAAGTCTCTCGGGTTCGTCTAAATAAACTTGTCAGAGCCGCTTTTAATGAAGCAGCCATAAGCAGATTTGTGGCTTAGTGTATTTACCCGGGCCAAATGAAGTCGGCTCGCGACTTACGACGACAACGAAACGGTCAATTTATTGTATGACTTTTGGGGTCTGGCTCAGTCCTCTGTTGTCGTTGTGTGTTCATTCAAATGCAAGAATTTCGTGGCAATCGGATTTCTCCTGAATTTTCTGGCTTTTTTTGTGGCAAAGCTTACCGCCGGACAGACGGTCTGTCGTCTTATGACGAGCTTACGCGGGTGGGCAGAGAGTCCTGAATTTATAATGATATGAATATCAAATTGACAGCGCTCTTTGCGGTATAATCGAATCAGGTCTAATGACTGTTTTGCATTTGTTTCCCTTCCAGTGAGCCATGGAGCAATTCGAGCAGCTGCTGACGTGCTGCGTCTGCCTGGACAGGTACCGCATCCCCAAGCTGCTGCCATGCCAGCACTCCTTCTGCATGGAGCCCTGCATGGAGGGACTGGTGGACTATGTGCGACGCCAGGTAAGACGATCATCATTAATCATCTCTCGGGGCTGGGCGAATGCATGTGGCTTCTTGCTCCTTTGTGTGCGTGCGGCAATTTGGATAATGCCGCCGACGTCACACATCGCTGATGTACACTGCGATAAATATAGCTTAATTTAAGAAATAAAAATTTAATCCAGAATTTAAAATGTCTTGTAAATTAGCTCTCTCAATTTATCGTGCATTTTGCTTTTTGGGCTGTTGAGAATTTTTAAGCATTTTAGAATTTTGTTCCAATTTATTTGAATATTTTTGTATTATTTCAATAAATTTATTGTAATATATTTTTTTAACTGGATACTTTTGAATTTAATTTCAATAATTTTCCCCCACTGTGTAACTGCTTAACTAGAAATCTCGCAAGGGAAATGAAACCAAATAAAATGGGTGGAAAAACAAAAAGGCGCCCAACAAGACGCCCCCGAAAATGTTGTATTTATCTTGTTGCTTGCGGCGCATTTGCGTAGATATCTTGTTGAAAAATTATATGGCAAAGGCATGGTTATATGTAGGCTCGAATAAACCCACAAGTGTACGAAAGTGTGTGTATCTGTGTGCTGCGCTACTTATAGAGCGCCTCAGTCTGCATGTATTTATAAATTTTGTTTTGGCTTTCAGCCAGCGCCACGCAAATAATTGGTAAGCATTTCCATTGTGTTGGCCAAACTAAAGAATAAAGATGCCCAAAAGGCAGAATAATATGGGGAGGGAATCAGCGAGTTGCAATACCTGTCAGGCGAAAAGAAAAGCCACAAGCTGAAATTGATCTTTGTGGCAAAGAGACGATGACAGGAGATGAAGAAGCGCACTCAAGATGCCTTCACATGCAACTAACGAAATGTGAAAGGTTTTTAAAGTTGCGTATAGCTCATTAAAAATTATGGACTTACTAATATATATGTAAATAAATATATTTTCAAAGCAAATTTAATTTCAAAGTTATTAAATAAATAAACTAAACTAATGACAATATTTTATTTTGCTAATCGCTTAGGTAAAATGCCCGGAATGTCGTGCCGAACACCGGATACCCTACAACGGCGTGCAGGCCTTTCCCACGAATGTCACCTTACAGCGCTTCCTGGAACTGCACATCGAAATCACCGGAGAGCTGCCCGATCCCACTTCAGGTAGGATTTTTGCGATTTTCATTTTTAAGCGTCGAAAGCACAAAAAACATTTTCCCTTTGGTAATAAATATTAACAATTAGCTGGAAAATTCCAACTGACAAAGAGCTTAGTTCGCATTTAATAAAAACCGAATGCACAAAGAGAAAGCATGCAAACAGAAATGTTATTAATAAAAAGTATTGCCATGTAATCGGTGGTGTAACTTTAATTAAATTCCACTGAGAACGGCAAAGCGGAAAATGCTAGGAATGCTGCCAGAAAATAATGACCGAAAAACTAGCATTTGCCATTATGTTTGGCTTTCCAATTAAAAAGTCAGACGCTCTCGCCATCCGATAGCAATTAAAACTAAGCAAAGCCAAATTGATTTCGTTTGAGCAATTTGCATTTGGGCCAAACCAAATTGTGGATCAACCTCCTCTTAAGCATGACTACGCAATTTTGTCTGACAAAACTTGAGGGTCGTGGGTAAATATGCAAATGGCTTGCAACTTTCGAGCTGCAATCAGGATCAAGTGTGAGTTAATAAGGCAGACAAAGTTCTTGGCTTTAACTATAGCACAGAAAAAAATTATTATGTGATAAATAAAGGGAAGTTATTTGAATAAGGTATCGAATTGAATTTACCTTTTTGTAAATATGAGGAAAATTTATAATGAAAGATAAATTAAATCTGTATATTTTAAACAAGAAAATATATTTTACTGTGCATCTGAAATGCAGTATTTTTTCTGCTTCACAAATTTCCTGGGCTATGCAAATGTGTGAAACAAAGGAATGCTTTCGTGTTATGGATATAGCAGGGACAACGAGCACTCGTACAACATTCATGTGGAATTTGCAAATTCACTTTTCCATATGATTAAACGAGAAAATACAGAAGCCAACTATTGGCATAAAGCACTCTTCCTCCCACCCCCCGCTAGCTTATTGTCAAGCAGGAAAAGCTGGGAAAGCTACCGAGGAGTGTTCATCAGGCAATGCCAGCAATTGATGCAGAAAAGTTTACTTTTTCAAGCTGCGACTGCTTGCTGCAGCAGCAACGACATCTTCCTCGCCTTGTTTGCATTGTAGCCCCATTGCTGAGGCTCGTTATTTGCATTGCCCCAGTGAAGGCGTCCTATCGTCAACGAGCCAAAGGATCCTTTGCCAAGGGATGCGACACACACTCAAAACGGAGGGCACATTGAAAAAATCACCTTAAAGTCATGGCTTCCTTCTTTGAAGTGATATTTAAATGTTTTTAAAATCTTAGGATTTTCAAAACTTTTTCTTTTATTACATTTTCTTTAATTTGCTACCGATCAGCACTTGAATATTCAAATTCTTTCTCCAAAAAGATAATTATCTTTCCTTGAATAGTGACTTAGAAAATTAGAATTGAAAAAGATCAGCATTATCGATATAATTAACAGAAAGATGTTTTTCGGAAATGTTGATTTTTTTTGACGTTTTATTACAAACATAATTATAATCATTTTATTAGATTTCTTAAAAATATCGATATTATCGATACCATACGTAAAAATTTCCATACTTTTAATGTTGTAGATCTGAGTATTTTGGCTTGCCTTTACAATCAAGTATTTCTCTCGGTGCCGAGATATGCACACGGTGCAGTTGATTTCGTGCTCTTGAAATCGCATTACTGAATGCAACAGACATCCTACTCGACACATCCCCCGTCCCGCTAAACGCCCTCACTTGGTGCTTGGTATCCCTGGCATGTGGCAAGACATTGTTGCCAAGAGTGCAAATTGATGAGCTGCTGCTGTCGGCATACTTGGCATTTTATTGTCCAACTCAAGCAGGCAGGAAGTCATTTGTGATGCCCATTTGGAAGTGTGTGTTTTTTGGCTGCCAGCACAGATTAGTAATTGCCTCCCTTTCTGTCCCTTCCAGGTCAAATTATGGAGCGCTGCGGCGTTTGCTCGGAAAAGGCCTATCTGTCCCACTGTGCGCACTGCGAGAAGAAGATCTGCGAGGACTGCAAAAGTGCCCACATGGACATTCTGCGGCGAGAGATTACGCGATTCAATTCACAGGTGAGAAAAAAGAGATAAGATTTACTAGTAATAGTCGGGGTAAATTATAAAAATAAATAGATTTTAAGAAACCGGTATCTGCACACTTAACTAAATTTAGCAGGGACCGTAAATAATCATTATTTGAGATTTTTATTTTAAAAAGACTACTGTGATGTTTGGTTTTAAACGTCAAAAATAACGTTCTTTTTCTCTTGTCCACAAAGTATATGCAATTCAACAAATCTGGAAAGCAAATTAACTGTTATTTGTTCATGTCTATAAAGTGCATAAAAACCAGTTAAATTGTTGATTAAAACTTGTAAAAACCTCAGTAGGCCTTTTAAAATAAAAATCTCAAATAATGATTATTTACGGTCCCTGAAATTTAGGGCTAGTACTCAACCCAACAAAAAGTCGTCCAAAACAAAAACTTCATATGAAACAAAATTTTTTGACGTTGTTTTTCATATGAAGTTTTTTGTTTTGGACGACTTTTTGTTGGGTTGAGTACTAAGCCTTAACATAAAATGTTGGTGTGTGTGGAATATCCGATTATCCTACTAAAACCTTTTAAATCTTTTTTTTTTTAATTTTAAACTTACAATATGGATTACAAAATACTCAAGTGATATAATAAAGATCACAATTTAACAATTTTTTTTATCAATATATTCACGGATATGAAAATAATTATTTTCTGTACGTAAATATTACATAAATTTTGCAAGAAATCCCAACTAATCCTTAAATTTCTCTCCTCAGATCCGTCGCAGCTTGCACCGACTGCAGGACTCGCTGGCGATTATCGAGAAGAACACCATGAGCCTGCAGACGAACGCCATCAGTGTGACGGAGGAGATCGATGAGATATACCAGCGGATCACGAAGGCCATCAAGGATCGCTCCGACCAGCTGAAGGGCGAGATCGATCGCTACTTGGCCGTGGAGCTGCGCAACCTGACCACCCTGAAGGAGAATCTCGATCTGGAGATCACGAACATCAGCAGCAACTGCGACACGGTGGACAAGTACATGAACGAGACTGTGGAGTGGGATGACTGCGAGCTGATGGACACCAAGGAGATCTTCCTGAAGACGGTTGAGTTCCTGCGTCACTTCGAGTATGAGAACAACGACTACAGTCGGCGGGTGCGGTTCCTGGTCTCCATAGACCCCAATCAGCTGGTGATGAACCTTGCCACCTTTGGTGACCTGAACATAGCCCCCCACTCGACGCCCAGTGGCGGTTCGGTGAGCAGTTCCCACCTGGCGCCGCCGAGCACCTTGCAACCGGGCCTGATGCGCTCGAAGAGCGATCACCGGCTGGCCACCCAGTTCCGCCAGCAGGAGGAGCGCAGTGGCTACAACGATGAGCCCGTGCTGGGCGGCCGCAAATTCGGCGAACGCCCGCAGCGCAGCGCCACCCAGGCGAACAACGATCGCTATGGCCGTGGTGGTGGTGATTACGACTACGAGAATGACTACGACAACGAGGGCTCCTCGGGCAGGGCGGGCAAGTCCTCCCGCTTCCGCTCCCGATTCGTGAGGTCCCACCAAAACGATGACTCCGACAGCGAGCAGCAGCAGCAGCAGCGGCAGCAGGAGCTCAAGGAGCGCAAGGATCGTGTCCTGGACAGCGAGGATGTGTCGCGCGGCCAGCTGAGCGGCATCATTCGATTGAGCGACTGCTCGCGCGTCGTCCAGCGACTGGCCGACATTGGCAAGGAGAAGAAGGAGAAGAAATCCGATGCAGCGGCAGCGGCCCAAGCGGCCGTTCAAGCCGCCATTCAGGCCCAAAAGGCGGCCATGCAGCGGCAGCAGCAGAAGAATCAGCAGACTGCCGCCGACGAGGAGGAGTTGGCACGCCAGAAGCGCAAGAATGCGGCAGCATCCTCATCATCATCGGCAGCTGGAGCAGCCACGTCGACGTCATCGGCGGGTGGCGACAACGCCAGCGATCAGCGGGTGGCGGCTCTGAAGAATCGAGGCGGCGAAGAAAGCGACGGCAGCTCCAATCAGGCGGCGTCTCCAGTGCGTAACAGTGCGGCCTCAACGACGCGAGCCGAGGTAAGTGTGAATGAGGCAAATACAGAAGAAGAAGGCGTGGCCAGTGAGAGCAGTGACAGCGAAGAAGAGGAGGAGGAGGAGGATGAGGAGGAAGAATCGGTAGAGGAGGGGGCAGAACAAGCTGAAGAATCTGTAGAAGGGGCTCCTAGGGAATTGCTTAATCCCCCAGAAGAATCTCTGCAGCCCACGTCTTCCGAAGTAACAGAGGAGGAAGAATCGTCCTCCGAGTATGAAGAAGTAACAGCCACCGAAAGTGAGGAAGAACAGGATGAGGGCGAGGAAAGAGTGGTTGAATCGGAGAATCAGATCCTACCAGTGATCAATGTACTACCACCCGATAATGATTTAACGCAAAAAGCAGAAGAAATCCCAGTAGATCACATAAGCAGTCAGCAACCGTTGGAAGAAACAGATAAATCTACTGAGGAGAGCCCAGAAGAAGAAGACGATGAAGATGAGTACACAGAAGAAGAAATTGAGGTTACTGATAAAGATGATGAAGAGGAGGATTGAAATCGTATAACAGATAGAGCTTCCACGCTTAAAAAATATATTACTTTATTCATAGGTAACTGAAGGATCAAAAAAGCGTAGATTTAGAATGAAAAACCCATACGTAACTGAAATAATTTTAAAGTTTCTATAGACAACAATGATTATAATCAGTTCTATCCAAGGTTATAATTAGAATTGAAGTAATTAGAATTTGCATAGATAGCTATCAAGTTACCAATTACTGTGTAGAATGCATAGATGAGACGCTGTCACTGCGGCCTGGCTCAGTATTTTACCCTTGTGTTTTGCAAAATCCCGCCGAAAGAACTTAAAACGATAATTGCGTATACGCCATGTGTGCTTCGTTCTTTATTTGTGCTCCATCGTTCACACTTCCCCTCCGCTCCGTAAGTGTTCTCATTTTCTTTGTCGACCCGGTCGAGAGAGCAACTGAACTTAACTGTTTATCGTTACTTTTACTGTTAATCTTACCTAACCAAAACCATTCAGCCCGAAACTTGTCCCATTTTGTTACGTTTTTATTATTTTAATTCTTATTTTGATTTACCCACCTGGTTTTCCGTTCTTGTTATTTTATGTGTACGTTAAGTTCATGTCCTTATTTATTTACTCCGATTGTTTTTATTATTTCCATTTGGTTTACTTACGTTTATTGTCTTGTGAGCGCCTTTCACCTAATGCTGCTTTGGGTCAGAACCTTTTGCCCCGACCAAATAATCTGAATGCAATGCGATTGAAGGCAAAGTTTCGGCCCAAAGCTCGGACATCAGAATTGTACAATATTGTATACAAGTATATATGGATATAAATATTTTTTTATTTACGTAGTTTAACATCCTTTACCTTATCGTTAGTTAGAGACTGCACAAAAAGTTAAAGCAAATAAAGCAACCAGAAATTACAAAATTCCGTTGATGTAACAAGTATTTTCTTTCAAATCTTTCTGTTTCTCCCTTTCTCTCTCTCTCTCTATCTATCTCTATCTCTGTCTCTCTATATCTATCGCTATGCTTATATCTACATATCTCTGCGATTCTCTCTTGCAAGTGGACAAACGATGTGGTAGTGATGTTAATTTGCTTAAATGTTACTAAATTTCTTTGGCAAATGCTGTCGAGCTGAATAAACCGCAGACCCTGATCAACAAAGCGACATTCCTCTTGGTTTCCCCCTACATTTGCCCTCTTCTCTCATCATTTCAAATACTTTTTGTACCATTCTTTATTTTTTCGTTGCCGTTGGTTTACAATTTCTGATGTCCGCTGTAAATATTTCTGTTGTGTATGTATATCTTTACCCCTTGTTCCAGTTTCCTCCCCCTCCCATATCCACCCACCTTTTTTTCGCCTGTCATGCATTCACACATTGTTGCCACGCCCCTCCCCCCAAAAATGGCAGACAGAGCCGGGTTCAATGGCGAATATTTCACCATCATGCGAATGTCAGCGATGCGGCTGCTTCCGTCAGTTTAACAATGTTTCCAGCTGCCCGTGTGTGCGTTTGTATCTGTGTGAATGGGTATACCACACACTATATATATATGATATAGTGACATATGCACAGTTGCTGCATATTTGTCTTGTTTTTGGCATTCGCCGAATGGGAATAGGAATAGGAAAAGGTTGTCTGATCAATTAGGGCCACATCAAAGGGACTGGATGAAGTATCATATGTAATGAAAAGGGTCGCATGCCGGGCATTTGTTATTTCTGCGAATTTTACGATTTCCTTTGGTCGCAAGTGAAAGCAAATATTGTGAATAGAGGTACTTTAACAGTTTTTCTTCTATTAGCTTATTTGTTTAATCCTGTTAAGCTGATTAAAATTTTTTTCAAAAATTTTCTACTGCATTTAGAAATGCTTTGGCTTGCATTTAGCCAAAAAGAAACTTTAAAATATTAAAAATAGAGTGAAGGTATTTAACAAATAACAAATCCGTTTAAATCTTTCAAATGTCTACAAATTTAAGTAAATGTAAAATTTAATAATGTTCTGAGTAAATTTGAAGTTGTAGTACCCACAAGTTACGCACGTAGTAATTAACGTTTGTATATTTAGATTTATGCAAGGAGCCTGCATGATGTTATCATGTTATTGCAATTACAGTTGCAAACACAGAATTTCTAAGGGCTCCTAATGAACCACCCCCTTTCACCCGACCACCCGCCCATCAGTTATCCACATCTCAGCATCGCCATATCTATTTCTCTATCTCTAAATCTCTATATCTTGCATCTGCATCGCATTCGTTACTCGTTCCGTCGCTTGCCAACACCGAAAATGAACTAACTCAGACCGCCAGCGCCACAGACTCTGATGCAACTCCCACTCCTACAATCCAACAGTCGAAGCCGCCCGTTTCCGCTCAAGTGGCAGCGGTGAAGAAGACCCAGCGATCTGGTAGCAGTGACAGTAGTGCCTCCACCGAGAGCTCAGCCAGTTCGGCGGCAGCAGCGGCTGTGGCAGCCACATCCGCTTCTGCGGCGGCACCTGCAACATCCGGTGGTGGCAGCAGCAACAACTCGACGAGTCAAAGTGCCAAGGCGCCCAGTTCATCTAGGTATTCGAGTGCCAGGGACACCACGGCAGTGCCGGAAAAGAAGCCCTTCGTCAGCCGATTCCTGCCGCAGCACAGTACCGCCAATGCCTCTAATGGTTCGGCGGACAAGAAGAAGGCCGAGTCCAGCTCGAGCAGCGAGGAGGAGACCAGCTCGGAGTCCGAGTCCGAGTCGGAGCCGGAGACCAAGGCGAAGACGAGTGCCACCAGCAGTACGACCAATACCAAGTCCACGCCCAGTAGTGCCGCCAGTTCGACAACGGCAGCGAGCAGCTCCACCAGCGGTGGATCCTACCGGGATCGCCTGGAGGCCCGCAGGGCTTCGCGGGACGACAGCTCCTCGACGGCGGCGGGGCGCAGCAGCTATGCCACGCCCTCGAGCAGCGGCTATGGGAGTGGCAGCGGCACCACCAGCGGACGCACGCGAGCGGTACCCGCTCCACATCATGCGAGCGAGAGCGAAGATCGCTATGGCAGCGGCACTGGCAGCAGGTATTTCAACCCAACCCCCCTAAAAAACAGATTACGGTCTATCGTTTTTTATTCGTGATTTTGTAGTTTATATAACCGAACTAATTTGCATGGCTAATGAGGCGAGCGGAGCAGAATATATAAAAAAAAAAGAAACACACACATTTGTATGGTTAATCTGCACAGAGGATTAAATTCCAAACAGTTTTCCTAGTATTTTATATTGCATAGTTAGGTTTCCTAAGCTTCAATAAGTTACTAGACTACAAGTGTGAATGTTGCTTTTTTGGGAGTCCCGTTAAAAAAATAGATAGAAAAGTTGCCCAAAAGCATTTTAACTTTAAATTCCACTACTTCCGTATTAAATCCTTTACAAGTTTAGACAATAAACTTAAAGAAAATACAAAAATTAACAATTCAATAGTCTACAAAATTTTTTAAACTGAAAGTGAAAGGAATATTTGACATAAATAAATTGTATAATGTTCGCAAATTGTTTGCTTTTATTTGATAAATTTTATAAATGTTTTGTATATTTCTGTATGCAATAGGCATTTATTTACAACTAAAATGAGCTAACGGAAGTACACAAAAGCCCTACACCGAGTAAATTGGGAATAAAACCTCGTTTTTATTAGTTTTTATTTATTTTGCCAGTTAAATTGCAATTGTCACGGAAATTGAATAAAATGTAATCAAACCAATAACCAGTAACAAAGTTACATATTTACATAGTTCGATTGTCCGCTCAAAAGTATTGTTTTAAATTCCCTAGAGAACTGTGTTGTTTTTCTCTGTGTGACAGCTTAGTAGCTACCGCTATTTAATGCATATCTGATGGGCATGGCCAATAAATTGTGTGTGTGTCAAACAGTGCAGTTTGGTAATATGTTTTCCTCGTTTTTCGCCGCACTAATTTAATTACATACCTGTGAAAAAGATGGCCTGCTATTAATTTACAATTTTAATTAGGTACACATTTGCACACACGACTGCAGAGTGGCTTTAATCGATATGCCTAATGGATAATTGCGTTTGGTTTGGTTTGATTTCGATGCGATTTAATGTCTGCCTTCTAAGACTCTCTCTTGTATCCCATTGTATCTCACTGCTGCAGCTTTGTACAAGTGCTCCGTGCTGGCATTAACATGGCAATGGCCACTTTGTTGCTCATCCGCCTCGTGTGGCGTCTAATTGTCAAGTTCATAACCTTTACATAGCGAAACACACAAATCCCACACACAATACCCGGATAGGTAAACACACACAGTACACACCGTTCTATCACTCTCTCTCTCTTTCTCTTTGTGTTCTCTATAAAACGATCTTTGCAGTGCACTGCCCTTTAGCATACCGTACATAAGCAGACCCAGCCGGGCTCGTTACCGAAAGCGACTTACCGATGTCTAGCCCGATATATACAATATATATATATACTCAATGCGAAACTCAGGCCAAAGCGACTCGAATTCAATGCAATTCATAGTTCAATTGTTTGTTAACCCTTAACGATGAATGAGTTCTGAAATACCCATGCCCGAGCCCCGATCCCCTATCCCCCGCCTAACCCACTAAGCCAACTCATGTTAAACGAGTGCTTAACCCTATTGATTAAATATTTGAATGTTCGCTGGAAATAAAATTGAACAAGTTCGCCAAGTTACTCGGAGTACTCGGAGTCACCTTCAATGGGCAAATAGAGTCGTGATGATGGGCCCTTTCAAAGAGCCACTCAAAGGGCTGGAAATTAACTTTACTTCTCGCTTTTTGTCAGTCCATCCGTCTGTTCGTCTGTCCCTCTGTTTTTCCGCCTTTATGTCCCTCTGTCAATACCCTTTTCAAAGGGATCAATGCGAGTCCTTTGTGCCTGGGCGACAAAAACTTCTTTAATTTTACTTTTGCACGACAACAAACACCGAACCCTTTTTCCCCTGCAACAAATCTAGCGTAATGTAATTACAACAGCCGCTCCACCAATTTCGCACTCCGTCCCTTTCCCCCACTTAATCACTCTCGCTCGCTCTTACTTCCCGGGAACAATGCGATAAATTGGTATTTGCTATCAGTCCGAATGCCAGCATATATATTTTCCCGGAGTCCATCAGTCAGTCCGTTTATCACTGCCGTATTTACTCTAGGTGTTTGTTTGGTGAAACTGAAGCTGAATTTATGCTTTACACGAGAAAGCCAGAGATTCCAGCTGCATACGATTTTAAGTTTTATTGGGGTAGGTTACCCGAGACTTCTATAGAGCGTGCCCAAGGAATATTCTGGAAATAATCCATCACATTTTATTAAAATAAAATAAAAACTAAATAATTAGAAATCTATTAATTCTTATATTGCAAACCTAATAATTCTAGTTACCTAAAATAACTACGTAATAATATTAATTTTTTACATCAATTCAAATGATTTTGCCTGAACTCAGGTAACAAAGAGAATTCATTTTATAATATCAGCTACAGAATTAAATTTTTTTGTTAAATTTAATACCCAGCATGTGTTCATAGTTTTTATGTTACTTGCTCTGGAAAAAATAAACCAAGTTGTTTATATATTGGCCAGCAGGTATCAGATGGTCGTCTCATTCGACTATATGGCTTCCACTTGTTTAAGCTGCTTTTTATCGTTGGCAATTAAGCAGTGTAAACAGAAATGCAGTGGCAATTTTAGTCCTTCTCCTTTTTTGAATAAATCGAGCAGCAGCAAAAAGTGTTGCCTGCTTTTGTGGGCTGCTGATGATACTGCCTGTTGCTTTGGCTTTATTTGCCCCATTTGCGTTGCGTTCCTGCACTCGTACTCGTACTCGTACTCACCTAGATTTAAGCATTTAATTTATGTGATTTTTTCGTGCCCCGGTACTCGTTGATCCTTTTTGTAGTAGTTGTTGCTTTTCGTGTTTCTTAACCCGCCCAACCACCCACCCACACAAGCACACACACAGACACGGTTACCTATTGGCGCCATCATTTTACGTACTTAACTCAACTTTTCCCAACTACTTTGTTTAACTTTCGATAATGCGAAATGTGAATTTAATTAAAAACTTTGTGCTCGGGCTTGCAATATATTTTAATAGAATTTAATGGCTAATAAATGCGACGACCTACACTCACAGCTACAGACACGGACTTAAGCTAGTTAAAAGTTAGTTCATTAAGCGGTGGTTGTTCCGGGGATAACAAATTAGAAAAATTAGACACACAGCAACAGCTACGGAAAAGGCCAAAATGCACAATTAATACGATTAAGGAATGTTACAAAAAAAATAATGTGTTTATACCCGTTACTCGTAGAGTAAAAGGGTATACTAGATTCGTGCAAAAGTATGTAACAGCTAGAAGGAAGCGTTTCCGACCCCATAAAGTATATATATTCTTGATCAGGGTCACTAGCCGAGTCGATCTAGCCATGTCCGTCTGTCCGTCTGTCTGTCTGTCTGTCTGTCTGTCTGTCTGTCTGTCTGTCTGTCCGTCTGTCCGTCTGTATGAACGCTGAGATCTCAGAAACTACAAAAGCTAGAAGGTTGAGATTTCCCACACATATTCTTTGGCTTCCTACGCAGCGCAAGTTTATTTTAGCCGAGCGCCACGCCCCCTCTAACGCCCACAATCGCCCACTAACGATTTTAAAATGGGTCCTGCGCCCACATCTTTAAAGATTTCCGAGAAGTATAAATGCAATTTTGTTGTGTATATTTATACCTATCGAAATGTAGAAGACATTTTTCAAATCGGACCATTCATTAAAAAGTTATACGCAATCAAAAATTATATATCTATCTCCCTCGCACTCCCTTTAGCTGAGTTACGATTATTAGTCGGGACACCAACCCGACACAGCGTTCGCACTCCCTTTAGCTGAGTGACGGGTATTAGATAGTCGGGACAACAACTCGACTATAGCGTTCTTTCTTGTTTAAGAAATAAATTACACAACACCCAAGAATAGATCAAACCAAACCAAAGCAAAACCAAAAACCGAACCGAACCGAATCAACATTTTTGCAGCTACACAAGCCGCTTTCTAAACAAGAGCAAGAGCAGCGCCATTGTAACGCAACCCTCGCTATCCACGCCCACCGCCTCCTTCGATGAGGACGCCACCGGAACGGGCGACGATTCGGACAGTCGCTACGGAACGGGCCGCTCCCGCTACTTGGCCATGAAGGAGCGACGCACCCGGCTGGCCCGCAGCCGCTCGTCCCACCAGTTTGGCAACGATGACGAGGATCTGGATGAGCCGGTGTCCCCCACAACGGTCTCGCCGTCCGCTTACCTGGCCTCAAGGTGCGCGTGAGACACCAGATCTTTCAGCTATATACTACCACCGAACCCCTGAACCCACCTTGCCCTCCAAATTGTACATAGGTTATATGTATCGGCTGTACATATAGATTTACATACGTATCTTTCCCGCCGATAGTATTTTGTCGTGCGCTGGGCGCTTTCATTGTGCGTGTGTGCTGTCCCCCGGTTAATATCGTTTTTTTTCTACATTTAAATTTACTTTTACATTTGATTTTATGGTTTCCTTATTTTTGAGTTGAGTTTCTGTGCGTGCCACGTCCGAAGTTCGCCACGTTTCGTTCTCGTTTATTTTGCACCATATACACTAATTCAACTTTTTAGATTTATCTTTTTGGTTCTTCTTTTTTTATGTACTTTTTTGGTTTTTTTAGTCATTTACTTGTGGTTAAGGAAGATACAAAATTCTGCGCGTTTTTTAATTAACCGAAATTAACCGGAAATCAACCAAGAAGTTTGCCCCTTCTCTAAATCTCTCTGTACATATGCAGCACTAGTTATCATGCACCAGACTCATAGAGATCAGAAAAACTGAGAATCAGGTTGTTATAAAATCGGGAATAAAAAATAAGTCTTAGAATTTTCTTATCATTATAAACATTATATTAAATTTTAATATACAATCAGGCATTTATAAAGTGTTTTATGATAAATATATTAGACCTTTTCTTTTACTGTAATAATTTTATTAAAATCTAATTGTATTAAAATTATTATTTTTTCAAGATTTTCAAAAGACCACAAAGAGTAAAAATCCATTGTTCATAAATTTGTATATTTTTTCTCTAAAGTAACAAATTGGAAAAAATATAAATATAAATAAAGAAAATGTGTCCTAAGGCTTTAAAGGTGGAAAATCTATAAGAAACATTTTAAAATATTTTGAAAAATGTTCATGGTTTTAGTTTATATTCCTGTTTCTCAGTTGAAAGCGCCTCATAATTTTCGAAATCAGCCACAGCACTCGACTCCATTCCATCTCAGCCCATTCCCATCCCCATCACCATCCCCATCCCTGTGGGCTTGACCCCGGAACCATTTGCTAATCGAGATACCTTTGCAGGTACAGCGGCTATGGCAGCAGTGACCTGGCCCGCAGCCGCTCCTCCCACGCCCTCAAGTCGCGCGACAACTCCCCGATCACCGATCGCGGAGCGGGCTCGTCGCGGTCCAGCGGCCTGGGCGGCAGCTCGGCGACGGACAGCAAGGACGGCGAGGCCTTGAGCTCCTGGGCACGGTACCTGAAGAACAAGTACGGTAACAAGGGCAGCAAGGACTCGGCCGGCAGTAGCGGCAGCGCACGCGACTCGCACGCGGGCAGCTCGACGTCCGCCTCGGCGGGCGCCGGGTCGTCCTCATTGGCGTCGTCGCATGCGCACGGCTACGGGAGCGGTACGAGCGGCTCGAGCGGTCGGAGCACCGCCAGCGAGGTATCGCGACGGCTGAGCCTGGGACTGCCCTTGAGGCAGGCCAACGAGCTGGCCTCCTCCGACGATGACGGGTCAAAAAACGGGCTAGGCTCCCCTACGTCCCCTACGGTAGCAGCAGCAGTGGCAGCAGCCGGTATAACCGGAGCGGCAGGTACTATCCCTAAACAGGTGTACCTGCGCAAGCGCCAGCAGCTGTTCCAGCTGGGGGGCCGGGGGAGCGAGCCCGGATCCTTCACATGGCCTCGCGGTCTGGCCGTCGGCCCCGACAATAGCATCGTGGTCGCCGACTCCAGCAACCACCGCGTCCAGGTCTTCGACTCCAACGGCATCTTCGTCAAGGAGTTCGGCGAGTACGGTAACGGCGAGGGAGAATTCGACTGCCTGGCCGGAGTGGCGGTGAATCGCATCGGCCAATACATCATAGCCGATAGGTGAGATAAAATTAATTGAATTTATAACTTAATGGTATAATATGTAGGAATTTTTGGTTTAAACTATATATTATACAAAGTTAATTTATTTAACTAAATATAGATTAATTTCAATATTCTTGGGGCCGTTTTCTCGACAGTTTTTTAGATTTAAAGTAGCGTTTACCCCTTATAATTTTATGGAAAATCGGAGTTTAAAGCTTTCTTTAAATTTAACAGGCTGACGAGAAAACGGCCTTCATAAAAATGCCTTATTAATAAAATAATTAGAATATTATTGTTTTGTTAAGAAATAGCTAAAGAAAATTAACGAAATAATTTTTAAATTTATTGAGTAATTTAAAAAGAACCTTTAAAAGTAATTACTTGAACGGCAAACCTATATTTTTAAAGAAATTTTTTTTGTAGAATATTTTAGCCTTTGGCTAACATGGGGTCAGCTTTTAGTAAGCTTCTCTTCAAAAGCTGGTTATAAAAAATACAAAAATTATATGGCCAGGATTTTTTTGTTGGCGGTGATACTTTATCTCCGACCGGGTGAGCATCTGCTGGCGGTCAGTCTCCGTTTTAATTAAGTCGAAACAAAGGCGCATGATTAATTCCCAGGTCCTAGCTCTGCCTCTAATTGGCAGGGCTAAGCGCATAATAGCCGCGTTAATGAGAAACATGTGCCGGGTCAGCCAGGCGGAGTGCGAGTTTTTGGCGCTCCTGCACATGTTATCTGCAACCTTTTTACGAGTGTTCCCCCACCGCCGACCTCCGAGCACCGAACTCCAAGCCTCCGGCTGCCGCTGTCATTGTTTGACGCAAAATCTCGTTAAGCACCCAGAGCCGGGGGCATACTCATCCTCATTGTGCGAGTCAACTTTGATTTTGCACGTTAAGCGGCTTAGACCTAAGCCCAACACCCATCAGCCCACGCCGAACAACATCCACATCCGACGACCCACAACCTACAACCCACGACTAAAAACCAGAAAACCGAAAAACCCACGCCCAACACCTTGGAATTCCAAGGCGTCGCGCTTTATGGGGCAACCCGCGAATCTTCTTTCGGGGGCCCGTAATGAGATCTCTCCTGGCTCCGGTTCACAATTAACGGGGGAATTCGCCGATTTGATGGCCCTATAAATTGGTCCGTCCACTTACACTAAGAAAAACAAGGTGCCCTGAATGTCAGCTCTAAACGAAATGAAATGGAAAACATGTTTATAGAATCAAAACCAAAAATGCATTTTTGACTTAAAACAAATTAATTTGCTTGATTTTTTATCCTTTAACTAAACATTTAAATTTAATTTGTTTTACATCAGCTTGAAAAAAGTTAAGTAAATTTTAAGATTATTTCAAGATTTTTGAGGAATATTTCAGAAGCATTTAAATATACAGCTTTAAGTATTTAACTCTTAAATGAAAATCAAGTTTTAAATAATTCCTTTTGTGTTCAACTATAATGATTAATAATTAACTTTTCTCCGCGGTGCATCCTCTGCCCTCTCGATTGCAGATACAATCATCGCATACAAGTGCTCGATCCGCAAGGACGATTCCTGCGCGCCTTCGGTTCGCAGGGCACCGCAGATGGCAAATTCAATTATCCTTGGGGCGTAACAACCGATGCACTCGGCTTCATTTACGTGTGCGATAAGGAGAACCACAGAGTGCAGGTGAGTGTCCATTTGGGTCCCCATCCCAATCCGCAGCCTTTTTCAGCTGCTCCTGGCCTCCATCTTCAATCTCGATTTGCATGCAAATATTTATATATTCAGTGGGGCAGGTGGGACTGGTGGGGAGTTGGCTCGAGCCGTGCCCAATTTGTCACACTCGAGCTGCATCCCAGCAGCAATTTTCATGGGCTTAACTGGGAGTGTATATATGTATATATGCGAGTTTTTGTGTACTCTCTCTCTGCACCTGCACGGTCCATCCTTTGGAGCGGTTCGGAGTGCTCCTGCCCATTTCAATTTGCAAACTTATATCGAATATTCGCATTCGTCAGGTTTTCCAATCCGATGGTTCCTTCGTTGGCAAATTCGGTTCCTGCGGCCGTGGCGAGGGACAACTTGAGCATCCGCATTATATAGCCGTATCGAATACGAATCGTGTGATTGTTTCCGATTCGAATAACCACAGGATTCAGGTGAGCCAATACCCCCGTGTACCCTTTGGGCCCGGAGCCTCATGCCTTTCATGCCTGTCTGGCCATGTGAACAATTTTAATTAAAATATGCTCACCATCGAGATTCATTCGCAATTTATTTGACCTTCCTGTCACCTCTTCCGTATCCGCAGATATTCGACGTAAACGGCAAGGTGCTGTCCACGGTGGGCGGCGAGGGTTCCGACGACGGCCAGTTCAAGTTTCCACGGTAGGCAAATCGAATTATCCGTTTTTAATTGACAAAGTGTTAACCTCTTGTGGCTCTGTTTTTTTAGCGGCGTGGCCGTGGACGATCAGGGCTACATATTCGTGGCCGATTCGGGCAACAATCGCATACAGATCTTCAATCCCGATGGCAGCTTCCTGAAGACCTTCGGCTCCTGGGGCTCCGGCGACTCGGAGTTCAAAGGACTCGAGGGCGTGGCCATCATGTCAAATGGCAACATTTTGGTCTGCGATCGCGAGAATCACCGCGTCCAAGTCTTCTGATCCGAACCCACGATACCCGAGGAGAACTCATTGCATTATCTCATTTCGATTTGTCTTTCTTTTATTTATTTTGTCTTTAATTATTTTTTGTTACGAAGTGCCAAAGCAATTATTGCCTCTATTTCTATGCCTAGAAACTGTGCCAATTAGCTGAAAAAAATCGAAAAACTTTTTGTTCAACCAAAGGAAAAAAAAGGAAACCTATGAATAAAAAAAGCGAAAACTCGTCAGAGTTTGAGTGAACAAAATTCTCTTTTCCTTTCGGTATATTTTCGTACATTTTGAATGGGGGCCCAACTGTTTATTGCTGCATTCAAGTATTCCCTAATTGAGATTTATCTGTGTGCAGCCCAACAATTTCCAAATCTGCCGCCCCCCAGTTTCCCAGCCCCCGGGGCACTTTATTAAATTAAGATGTTCTGTGCCAGCAAATTGGAAACTTTTTTCGGAGCTTTTCGCATAAACTATTTGCCTCCAACTGCCAGCTGCGTGTGGCGTGTGTAACAACAACAACAATAACAGCATCCACCGAGTTGGTAGCAGCAACTGTGGCAGCTACAGTTACAGGATTTATATGTTGCCGCATAAATTTGTTTGCTGGCAAATGTTGCGCATACGCCATGTATGTAGTACAAATACTTGGGCTAAAAAAGGATAGAAAAGTCCGAGTCTAAATACTCTTTACCTTTCGAGAAAAATAAAATATTTTTACCTCGCTCCAACAGGGGTATGAATTTAAAAAACCAATTTGAAACGTTAAAATAAATTTAAATATTCATCAAAGTACTTGTAAGTCTCATAACTTGCTGATCGATTTTATCTATATTTTTACTGGCAATAAATCAATTATCCTCTGGTTGATATACCCTTTTTACCAAAGGCATCCCATATCCATCCTCCACTTCTATCGTATTCACACTTGCCTCTTACAAATGACGCAAAATGTTGCCAGGATAAGTGAGTTTTATGTGATTAAAATGCATGTGAGTGTGAGTGGGTGTGCGTTCGAGTTGCGATGAAACTTTATGGCTTACTTACTACAACTTATGGCACCCTCCAACTGCTGAATTACACCCTCGGCACCGCCATTCGCTTCCCCATGATAAAATTCTTTGATTTGCAACAATTTGCAATTAACCTTTGATTGACTAGACGTAAATTCTTTGATAAGGCCAGCAATTCACGTTTACATCCCCCACACCCTCAGGCTATTACTTTTGTAATGCGACAATTTTGCTTTCAATTAGCGAATGCGAATTGCAACACTTTAATGATTGCTACATTGCGCATCAATGGAAAGTAACGTTAAATTACGGGTGTGTGCGATGTATGCTGAATTTAAAGCACACGAACAATTTGTTAAAGTGCCCCCTAGTCAAGTTTCATGCTGGCTTTTTGTTTCTTCTCCCATATTCTACAATTTTATGGCCCGCATGGGCGTGGCAGCTGGCAGCTACAAGTAGCGACATTTCGCCGTTTTTCCTTACACAAAGGGAAATAACTAAAATAAGTATATCACTTGAAAAGCATAATATTTAATAGGTTAACATTTTATTAAATTTATATTTAATTTATTTCAAATTTATTTATATAAATTCTTTTTATTTTAAATCCATTATGTCAGGACTAAATGCTGAAAAAAACTATATTGGCTTCCAACTCAGTTTTTTTGGAGAGTTTGCATTGGTTTTCATCTCTGATTTTTTAAAAAAAATTTTAATGTCCATTTAAGGCGCTGTGAACTTTTGAAGTTAAGAACTAAAAAATGTTCTCAAACTTCAAATTAGTAATTTGTTTGTTAATTGTTTACTAGGGGAACTAAATAAATATTTTTTTAAATTTTTGTTTGCCAAGGAGTATGAATCTTAATTATTTGAAAGTTTCTATCGCCGTTTTGAAAGTCTTCTTCATTCTATAAAATAAAGTATATATCTTTTCATCATTTCCAGATTTATTTCTGTGTAGTTCCCGTGTTCCACACTGTTTCATCAGCGAAATGATGACTCTGGTGCCTTCAAACGAAATTTACAAATTTCATTTAAATTAACTATGCTGGCGGGCGGGGAGAGGAGGGCGCTGGGCGTTTAATTGGAACACGTTTGACATCAGGCGATGGCAGCAGCAGCAGCCCAGCTATTTTACGACGGCCAAATGGCAGGCGGCCATAAAAAGCGCTCCTTATGCCATTGAGCGTTGAAGCGCCGTAAAGTATGCAGCGAAAACTTTCAATAGTCAAGGGGGGCGGATGAGCGATTCTAAGCAACTTTTTGGGTTTGCGAAAGCTTAATCTTTTTACTATCGCTGCGCAAAGTTGGACAAGTGGCAAGGTGGCCATTACTTTTGATTTTCATCGCCCAGCGTTTGATTGTCATTTGTTTGCACTTTCTGCTCGGCAACCGAACACGCCAAGGCATCTTTTCCAGCGCAAAAGAGGAAAAATCAATTCGTTGGACCGCACAATCTGAACGCGGAACAGAAACCCTCCTCTTAACTGAATCTGAATCTGACCCCGCTGTGCAATTTTTATTGGCATTCGATTTTGTTCGCTTGTTTCTGAGCGTTTTATGAGCTGGTAAAAATTTATGCACCGCCCACCGATCCCCAATCCAACCGCCATATATACTACGTACACACATTTAGTTGTGTGTTTTTCGCTTTAAACGAAAGTTGCATAAAAGTGAAAATTGTTCAAGTGCTCGGACGAAGGGTTTCCACGATGAGGGGCGGAATTCTCTTTGTTTGTTTTCATTTGGCAGCCGGTTTCGGGTTTTTGGCTTACATTTCAGTGCCAAAATAGTTGTAGATTTATGGTAAATGGAATGGCAAATGGATTTTTTAGTTAGATATTTATACATGCATCAAAAGCAAAGTGCAAAATAAAATGTGGCTGCAAAATACATTCGTATATTGACAGGCAAGTTTTGTTGGTTCAACAAGTCCAATCAGTGGTCTGGAATATGGCAAAGGGATCAATTAGTTATTCAATGCTTTCCGACATTAAATCTCTCAAAAACCGAAAAGGATCAATTAGCTATTCAGTGCCTTCACATAGAAAAGCCTTTAATTGGTTTTTATGTACCCTTTGTGGTGATGCAGAAACTACTCTTATTTAACTTATAAAAACTTAATAAACTTTCTAAAAAGGTTTTAGTTCGGAAAATTATCTAGTTAAGACGCAACTTTATATTTTCGATTTAAATGCCTTGAATTACTTTCTTCGTAATTCTCTTAAATTAATTTGTATTGAAGTGAAGGCAAGGTGTTCATGACGAGCGTGAAACTAGTTAACCACTTAAGCGCACCACTCAAATTGACCCAGTTAGTGGCTGCTGTTGACAGGTGCTCCTTATTCCTTATTCCCGCTTCTTTCATATTTCATCACCCTTTTGGCCTGGTTTCAAGGGTATTGCAGGCATCGGTGCACCGCCATAGACGTGTCCTGGTTTAATTTCTCTAAACATTTCCATTGTTGTTCCGATGGCCCCAGCTGTGAACGGGTGTTGGTCAAAATGAAAAACCCTTTTCGCTTATTACTTTTATTTTTGCCTGCCTGCCCGGCTGCTGTGTGTGTGTTTTTTTTCGTACTTTTGTAAAAGGGGGAGTGCAGCAGCAGCGGTCTTATTTCATTTTGTCGGGGGCGTTTGTCTCGTGCCAGTGCACAATAAAAAATTGTGTAAAAAGCAGAGCCATTGAGCTTTGGATTGGCCGAAGGCCAGAAGCAACAGCTGGCCACCTTTTTGGCAGTTAAGTGTAAAAGAATGCCTAATGCCTGGGATGGCCGCAAAAAAGTTTCCAAATAAATAAGTGGCTTGAAGCGGCGACGAGTGGCTCACTCAGTTTCAATCAAAAATTACACGGCAAACAGAGAAAGTCGATTCCAGGGAAACCGTATTCTCTATTTCGAGGGCACACATGCGATGTGTGTGTGTGTGTTCTTAACCTTTTGTGCCAGGTGCTCCTTCCAGCATCCGTTTCCGCTCTTCCTTTCCAGTTGCCACTTGCCATTTCCCATTTCCCGATGCCGACTGCACTTGGTGGTACATTTAATACCACTTGAGTGACTTTTTATGGCCAGCAAGGCAGTCATGTGTGTGTGCGGCAGAGGGTGGGTAACTGGGTGACTGGGCGCCTGGTCTGTTTTGTTTTTGTGTTCATTTGGACTTAGCCTTGCCATTTGTCCGCCGTTTGTTAGTATTTTCCTCTCGTTGTTTTAGTTTCGTATTTTTTAAACCACTTTTTTCCTACTATTTTTGCAACGTGTCAGACATTTTTATATGCATCCAGCAGCAGCCAGAACTTTTCACTTTTATTATTTCCATTTGGAACTGGCTTTTGTTTTCATTCTCATGGACGGTGATAGAAAGAAGAGAGCAGCTGGCTGCATTTAAATAAATATTTTAATAAATAAAATGGTCAGATCTAGTCGTGGCCACAGCTGCCGAAGCGATTTTTCAACCCGTTTTCATGGACGCTATGTAAATGGGAAATTTGATATTCGAGAAAACTAGTAATGATGCCAACTGAACATGACCAGGTTTAAATCTCAACTTCCAACGACAGCTGAACTCTGCTGATATATCCCTCAACAAAGGCCCAAGGTAAGGGCAGCTCAGTAAGGTCTGGGTAAATAGCACTGCAACAGATAAAAAGGCGTTTCCAGCACACAAAGACGAACCAACTTTAGAAAGTGCTGGATAAATAAATCGAGGAATGGGGTGCTGAAAGGCCACAGGGGAGACACAATGTGAAGTGCTTTTTAGTTTGCGTAAATCAAAGTAAGAGAAAATTAAACTTCAAACTAAAAGCAGCTTACAGTTTCGAGCACTAAATGGATTTAGACATTCCAAACGTCCTGCTTTTTGGAGTGGCACAGTCACTTGTCAGGACGTAGGTGAAGTCAAGAGATCCGATTTGAGATGGCTGCTGGTTTATTATAATCACATTCAGAATGCATGTGTGGGAATTAAGAGTTCTTTGAATTTGAAAGTAATTTTTAAAATAAAATTTTTATAAAATTTTAAAAAATTATTAAAAAAAAAAAAAAAAGTTTTCCAAATTAAAAAATTTTTTTTTTTTTTTTTTTTTTTTTTTTTTTTTTTTTTTTTTTTTTTTTTTTTTTTTTTTTTTTTTTTTTTTTTTTTTTTTTTTTTTTTTTTTTTTTTTTTTTTTTTTTTTTTTTTTTTTTTTAAATTTTAAATTTTTTTTTTTTTTTTTTTTTTTTTTTTTTTTTTTTTTTATTTTTA